CCCGGCCTGTACATACAGTTTTATAATCTGCTTTTTTTAACTTAATAATATATTGTAGTGTTTTATTCTAACAAAATCAGGAGCGCTTTGTGCAGTTTTGTTTTTTCCCTTTTTTTCTTCACTTAACATATCACATGTAATTTCTTTTCATTCTGGCCTCATTGTCTCCCCTTCGTGTTCTCAGTCCCTTCCTTCCCCATTCCTACCCAATTCCTCCCTACATGATGAGCCATCTCTCCCCTGGGATGTCAAGGTTCCTTCTTCACCGGGAGCCCAAATAGCCCGTCTGTACTCCGCATTGCCCCCAGGGCTAGGGTCAGCCCCAGGAGATTCTGGCTGGGTGGTGGGGGGAAGGGGCTTCTGCAGGACCTTCCCCACCACAGTGGCTCTGCTGTACATATGGCCTCTCTTCCCTGGAGCCCAGAAGGTCCCTCAAGCCCTTGCATAGTCCCCATCCTGGGCATCACAGCCTGTGGGCCTCACAGCGCTGTGTCCACAGGTACCGTTTCCTACCATGGTGGCTCTGCTATGCATGTGGTTCGGGATCTCCCTGCCCCTCGTCTACTTGGGCTATTACTTCGGCTTCCGCAAGCAGCCATATGACAACCCTGTACGCACCAACCAGATTCCCCGGCAGATCCCTGAACAGCGGTGGTACATGAACCGATTTGTGGGGTAAGTCTTCCAGCAGGGGACTTGTGGAGTAGGTGAGGCCAACGCTCCCCTGAGCTGTCTCCTTGGGAGGACATAGGAGAGGGTATCCTACCCCCAAGGGTGCTGTGATTAGTGTTCCTGCAGCTCCAGCTGGCTCTAACAGACTTCAGGAAAGCTTAGCTTCACTCCAAGATCAAGAGGACCAGGTTATAGCCAGACTTGGTGTCAGCCTAGAAACCGGGACAAAACAGGGGAGGGAAGGATGGAAGGGAATGGTGAGACAGGTTGAGACCACGACTTGGACCTTGGGCAAGTCACCCCACCTCATGTCCTATCTGTAAAGTGGGGAGAATAATGTCCATCCTGCCTACCTCTCAAGAGGTAATAGTGGTACAAAAGCATGCCAGAAGAAATAGAACCACCACAGCCATGTAGGCACTCTCCTTTCATGCTGGCTTGGGAGGGAGCTTGGGGCTTCCTGATGGCCTGCGTCTCCTAGCAGTGTTAACCCTCTTGTTCTGTGGCAGCATCCTCATGGCTGGGATCCTGCCCTTCGGTGCCATGTTCATCGAGCTTTTCTTCATCTTCAGTGTGAGTACTGCTGCCTACCTCCACCCCTCTACCCACGCAGCCTGGTGTCTGTCTCCCCCTCCACTCTGGTGCTCTGCCACTTACTGCCTGTGAAATTTCAGATGGGCCGTTTAACCTCTCACAGTCCCATTCTGCACCTGAAGTCGGGTAACAGCCCTGCCTCTCAGGACAACTTTGAAAGTTAAATGAGATATGCCATGTGTACAGGTCTGGTGGGTGGAAAGGGCTCAGTAAATAGAAGCTGCTCAGTGACACTGCAGTCATTCACCACTGTGATTAATAGCATTGTTGCATCTGCTTTGAATTCTGGGTCCCTGTACATCTTTACCTGTCTGCATTACTCAAAACTCCCAGAAAAGTGGACAGAATGAACACTTATTGTCAGGATCCTTGTGGGGCTGGAACGAGTAATATCTGTAAAGGCTCTTGGCATTCAGGAAATGCTCTTGTGATGATGATGACTCCTGCCCAGAAATGCCAAGATGAAAGTGTCAGGAGGACTCTTCGGAGCCGTCAGTGTCTGGCTGACCCAGCTTGGTGCCGAAGGCACACGTGGTGCCTTCCACCAAGTCAGTGCCAGGCAGTATCTGCTGTTCCAGAGTTGTGGTCCAGCCCCTCCCTACTGAGACCACCTTGCCCACTCAGGCCTGCCCAGAAGGGTCAGGGAATGGGTTGGGGGCCCTTTGGCCCAATCATACCCTCCAAGGAGGCCACCTTTATCCCATCTGTGTGACCCTGGGCTAGTCACTAGCTTCTCTGAGCCTTGACTTCCTCAGTTATAAAAGGCCAAGCTTTCACAGGCTCACATACAGCAATGTATATAAAACATGTAGTGCAGTGCCTGGTGCTTGGTAAGTTGCCTCTGAATGGTGGTAGCTGCTGTATAATTTTTATTAGGATAGGAATCATTATTTTCTACAAGCTGCCAAGAGCAGGGTCAGTCGTGTCCCAGCCCCTCCCTAACAGCAGCCTGATTCAGCCCCTAGTCTGGGGAAGAGGTTCTGGTCAGAGCCACATGCCAGGCCCAAAGGCCCCGATGACATCATGATGGTGTCTCCACTCCTGCCCTAGTGACAGGTGGTATGCCGGTGGAAGGGACAGTGGGATGGGGGCAGGCCAGCTGAAGGCCCACTGTGGTGTGTCCGCAGGCAATCTGGGAGAATCAGTTCTATTACCTGTTTGGCTTCCTGTTCCTCGTTTTCATCATCCTGGTGGTGTCCTGTTCACAAATCAGCATTGTCATGGTATACTTCCAGCTGTGTGCAGAGGTGAGACCAATGGGACCCAGGGGGAGGGGGGAGGGGCGGAGCTGGATCCCACACTGAATAGGCCAGTGAGGCTGTGCAAAGAGGCTAGGTCTGCATTTCCTGCGTGGTCCCCTCTTCTGGCTGTGAGGTCTTGGATCAGTATATTGCTTTGCCCCTCCAAGCGTCGTATTTTCAGCTGCAACCTGGAGTTAATGAGACCTTACAGCTTAGTTGTATGGGATAGTCACCACGTCTTGACAAAAGGACTGTAGATTTGTCAGTGCTGAGTCCACTGCAGTAGGAATTTCTCCAGCAGGCTGATGCACATTGGGTGACCTGCCCTCCCTCTGGGGACTAGCTCTTGGCAAAGTGGATGAAGCAAGGGCTGTGGGACAAACAGCCTGGGCCAGAATCCTGGCTCCTCTACTAATAGCTCTGGATCTTGGGCACATTGCTTAACCTTTGTGCCGTCCATTCCTCGTCCATGTGACAGGAATATTGATAGGGCCTGACCTGGAGGCTACTGCGAGGATTAAATGAGCAGATTCACGTAGAGCACTTAGGATGGTGCCTGGCGTGTGGGTAAGCATTTGCTCAAGAAATGTTGTTACTGCTTGTCTCTTTTTGTTGTTGATTTTTTTTAATGAGGTATAATTTATGAACAGTGAAGTTCACCCTTTTTATTTTACAATACTGTAGTTTTTAGAAATGCATACAGTTGTGTAACCACCATCACAGTCAAGCTGTAAAACATTTCCATCACCCCAAATATTACTGCTCTTACCCAGAATCTTCGGCCCTTCAGGTACCCATGAACTTTGGCAGGAAGAGGTTCTGCCTAGGCTCAGTGATGACCCTTCCTCTGTTTCCTCCTCAGGATTACCGCTGGTGGTGGAGAAATTTCCTAGTCTCCGGGGGCTCTGCATTCTACGTCCTGGTTTATGCCATCTTTTATTTTGTTAACAAGGTACCTCCCTCCTTGATAGGATCCTCTTAGTCCTCACAGGCAGGATGATTGAAAGGAGGATGCTGGTAGAAAAAGCCAAGGGTCTGAATCTTACTTTCCTACCTGGAATGGGGAGGACCAAAGCCATCTAGAACTGTTTCTGCTCTAGATCGTGCATCTTTTTGGGAAAAAGAGAATCTGTGTTCTGTATGTTTGGAAGACAAAAGCCATCAGGATAAATGACAGAATACTGCATGCCAAACTTATGAGATACAGCCAAAGCAGGACTAAAAGGCAGTATGTCACCTGCTGTGCTTTCGACAGAAAATAAGACAAACTTCTAATACCATATTCACCTCAAGAAACTAGGAAAAAAAGAACAGTAACATGAAAGAAAAGTAGATAGAAGGAGTTAATAAAGATAAAAGCAGGAAGTGCTGAAATAATCTTTAGACCCCTAATTTAGGACCTCAGGCATCCTGTCTCTGGAGGCTTCCTTCTCTTCACACAAGTAGTGTTCAGTCCTGCAGAGTAAGGAGAGGATGGGCAGGGGCTTCGCCTGCATCTTAGAGTCCTCCTTGCTACGTGAGCCCACATAGTAAAGTGTGGTCCGATAATAGAAGGAAGCCTGGGTAACGAACTAGGGCAAACTCACAGAGCTCACTGTCCCCAAAAGAGTGGCAGGGGTAAGAATACAAACCAGTCCCCATAACAGTTTTGACAATGCATGAACCAGACAGGCCATTGGGTGGAGTTTGGGGGAGCTCTGGTGGCCCCTCAACTCCAAAGCTAACATTTAAGACTTGACCTCACCCATGGTACTTTGGGTCTCCAAAGCCCACAAGCAAGCAGTCCTCTGCTTGCAACCAGAGTGTATTTGCACAGTGGCGTTGTAGGTCAGTTGGTTGAAGCTTGGAATGACCTTCCCCGAAATAATCGGGTTGGAAAAGACTTTAAGGATCATTTAGTGCAGTGCTCTACCCCTGCTTCCAGTCATCTTCTCCAACAATCACAGCAGATGATCATCTAGCTCAGAGGTCAGCAAACTGCAGCCCATGGGCCAGCAGGCCTGTTTCTGTAAATAAAGTTTTACTGGAACACAGCCACGGTCATTCGTTTGCATGTCGTCTGTGGCTGCTTTCATACTACAATGGCAAAGTTGAACAGTTGCAACAAAGACCATGTGGCCTGCAAAACCTAAAATACTTATAATCTGGCTCTTCCAGAAAATGCTTGCTGACCCCTGGTCTAGCACATCCAGTGACATTCCCTCCTGACACTCCCATTCTCTTCCTGGACAGCTCCTGTCACTATCAAGGTCTTCTTGATTCACACTGCAGTCTGCCTCCCTGTAACTCCCATCCTCAGACTTTAGTCTTATTCCTGGGATCATCCAAAACAAATCTCATCTCCCTCCTCTACAGCCCATGTTAATCAGAACTCTCATGTGTAGCAAATGACCAAAAACCCAGTTCAAAGTGGCTTAAACAAAAAGAGAATATATTGGCTAATATAACTGGAAAGTTTAAGAAATTGGAGTTCTAGCCTTAGACGTGATTAGACCCAAGGTCTCAAAACATGTGAGTTCTGTGTGCAGAACTTAGCTCTGTGCGTCTTTTTTCAGCTCAGTCTGTGTGCAGAATCTTTCCACAAAGTAGAAAGGTGGCCGGCCAATGGCAGCCCTGGAGTCTAGTCTTTTCAGCTTTGCAGCCCTGGAGCTAAAAGAATGTCTTTCCATTGTATACCAGTCCCAGCAAAGACTCTTGTTGGCTCTGCTCAGGTGACATGCCCATTGCTCACTATTCACCACGTCCAGTAGGGTGGCATATTCAGGTTAACTGGTTTAGGTGTTTTTTTTTGGAGACAGAGTCTGGCTCTGTTGCCCGTGCTAGAGTGCCATGGCATCAGCCTAGCTCACAGCAACCTCAAACTCCTGGGCTCAAGCAATCCTTCTGCGTCAGCCTCCCGAGTAGCTGGGACTACAGGCATGCGCCACCATGCCCGGCTAATTTTTTCTATATATTTGTAGTTGTCCAAATAATTTCTTTCTATTTTTAGTAGAGACGGGGTCTCGCTCTTGCTCAGGCTGGTCTCGAACTCCCGGCCTTGAGCGATCCACCCACCTTGGCCTCCCAGAGTGCTAGGATTACAGGCGTGAGCCACCGCGCCCAGCCCACCAGGCATATCTTGATACCAAAGTTCCAGATTATGGCTGGGTACAGTGGTTTACGCCTATAATCCTAGCACTTTGGGAGGCCAGAGCGGGAGGACCAGGAGTTTGAGACAAGCCTGAGCAACATAATGAGACCCTGTCTCTACCAAAAAAAAAAAAAAGAAAAATTAGCAGGGAGTAGTGGTGTGCACCTATAGTCCCAGCTACTTGGGAGCCTGAGGTAGGAGGGTCACTTGAGCCCAGGCGTTTGAAGTTATAGTGAGCTATGATGACGCCACTGCACTCTACCTTGGGCAATAGAGTGAGAACCTGTCTCAAAAAAAAAAGAAAAATTAGCAGGGAGTAGTGGTGTGCACCTATAGTCCCAGCTACTTGGGAGCCTGAGGTAGGAGGGTCACTTGAGCCCAGGCATTTGAAGTTATAGTGAGCTATGATGACGCCACCGCACTCTACCTTGGGCAATAGAGTGAGAACCTGTCTCAAAAAAAAAAAAAAAAAGTTCCAGATGACCTCCTATTGTCCTAGCAAACACCACAACACATATCCCTAGCATCTCTGTCCAAGCTTCTAAACTCCACCCCAGTTACAAAGGAGTCTAAAATGCTCCAGGATAAACATCATTGTGAGATGTTAACAAGGGACCAACATTCTTAGAAGGAGAGGAGCGTAGGCTGAGGCAGGCCGAAGGTAGCTCTCTGGTCCTTAGGCTAGGAACCATGGACACCTCTTCCCTCTACCTTCCTCCCCGTTCCCTGACTGCTGCTCCAGCCACCCAGGTGCTGTACCATTCTGGAGACCAGAAGACCAGGAAGGTCATAGCTGTGGCCATTCCTGCCTACGGCTTTCTGGCCCCAACCCCTGAGTTCCTGAGCATGAGAGGCAGTACACAGGCCCTGGTACAGATGAAGCTTAGCTGTGGCAATGAGCCCTGCCTGCCCCTTGCTGCCCACCTGGAGCAAGCCCCTTCCTTTTGCCATGCCTCAGTTTCCCCATAATATCAGTGAGCGGGTGGGGGCCCCAGTTTGCATGGCAGCCTGGCACTCAGTGTCTACCACTCTCTTCTCGCCTACTTGTTGCCCCAGCTGGACATCGTTGAGTTCATCCCCTCTCTGCTCTACTTTGGCTACACGGCCCTCATGGTCCTGTCCTTCTGGCTGCTCACGGGCACCATCGGCTTCTACGCAGCCTACATGTTTGTCCGGAAGATCTACGCTGCCGTGAAGATAGACTGATCAGGGTGGACCACAGCCGGGCCCACTGCGTCCTCGGACAAGAAGCCACCCTGCGTGGGGAACTGCAGGCACGCAAAATAAAATAACTCCTGCTCGTTTGGAATGTAACTCCTGGCACAGTGTTCCTGGATACTGGGGCTGCGTGGGGGGCGGGAGGGCCTGTAGATAAACCGTGCATTTTTCTTCATCTTACTCCAGTTCTGTGGGGGATGAGTTTTTCGTGGGTTGTTTTCTCTTCAGTGCTAACAAAGTTCCCTCCAGTGGGAACTCTCTGACCTGTTTATTCAGGTTTATTTTTGGTTTGGGGTTTTTTCCTTCTTTTTAAAACAAATGGATCCAGGATGGATAAATGCACCAAGATACTGGGTTTTGGTCACTGTCTCCACCTCAGCTCCTCAGGGCTGTTGGCCACCCCACGACTAACTGGAAGAGGAAACGCTAGGGCTTCAGGGAGGTTTCCAAGCCTCTCATCACCCGTCCTCTCCACTGATGCTGCGACAAAGCACAGCTCCGGTCTGGACAGCACCCTCAGTGCCAACCAGCCTCTGCCAGCCCCTCTCCCTCCCTCTTCTCTCCTCCCCAGCCTCCTCCCAGGGCTGCCAGGGCAGGGCTTCCAGCCAGGCCTCTGGGTCATCTTGTCACCAGGAGCAAGCCCAAGTCTTGGCTGCTACAAGAAAATGCCCTGGAAGTACTGGGGGCCAGGTTCCCCAGGATGGCAGGAACCACCCTGTTCAGAGCAGCCGGAATTTGCTGGATCGACAGGAGGAAGAGACTTGCAGTCACAGCGACTGTGTGTGCCAAGAAACCCTGGACCTGGGGCCACGTATTTCCAGAGCCAAGCGCCCACGTGTCTGTGTCTGGGGAGGGATGGCTCAGGCCGCTAGGAGCCTCACCCCTCAGGGTTGTTCCTCAGCCCTTTCCTCAGGGGTTGCCACTCTTAACAAAGTGTGCTGGTGGCAGACCCTCTCCTCCTCCACTTCAGGGCAGAACAAGGAGGCCCGGAGACCTCAAATCCTTCCCTTTAGGTGGCAGGGCATTCCCTCCCTGATGTCCCCTGGCCTCAAGGTCCATGCTTAGTTCTTTTATCCAGACCCATCCCCTCTACCTCCCACCTGAGTTCTTGCCTCCTTCTTTTTGGGACACCCAAAAAACTGCTTGTGAGAGGGAAGATGGAAGGTAAGTTCTGTCTTTCCTTCCCTAACTCCCAGGAACAGTCAAGAAGCCCAGTCTCCCTAAATTAGAAAGAGGGGGCTCACGTGGCTGGCCTGGCTCCTCCACAACCCCTGCTCTTCCCAACCTCTGCCCACCCCATGCATGTCCCAAACATTTGCTCTTAAGTTACAAGAGACCAAATCTACCCAGGGATTAGGGTTCAGGTAGCAGCCACTCACCCTCGCTCCAGCCCCTTTGGCACTCCCACCATGAGACAAAGCTCAGGACGCTGGGTAAGCTGGGAACACGCCCATCCCCTCACCACCCCACATTCTCCGGCAGCGCCTGCCAGCTCCACCAGTCAAACCAGTGAACTCAGTCTTGCCTCACAGTGACTCCACAGCACCAGGCAGCGTCCACCAAGAATCAGGCTGGAGAAAAGGGAACCCAAGCTGTAGAGAACGGTATTGGAGTCTTTTGTTCATTCAAATCTTGGATTTTTTCCCCCTAAGAGATTCTCTTTTTTGCGGGGAGTGGGGAAACAGATGCCTCATAAAGGGTTCAAACATCATCAATTTTTCTGACTTTTTTAATCATCATCATTATTACTTTTAATTAAAAAATGCCTGTATGCCTTTTTTTGGTCCAGTTGTAAATAAATATGCCATTGTCCTATTGTTTTGTCTCAAATCTCGTGCAAGAGTTGCAGGTCTGAGGTGAGACAGCTTCCCCAAATGGGTTGACTTGAGTGGTTTCCCTTGAAGTTCAGTCTCCTGTCAGGCTTTCTAGGGCTCAGGCCACTGCTGTTCCCAGCCTTACAAGTCCGTAGCCTTGCCCGCCTGCTGAGCCCTCCATGCCCAGTTGCAAGCATTTGCCCCTCTGATCCCACCAGCAGGAAATGGCAATTGAGTGTGAGTTTTGGTAGGAGTTGAGACATGGTTTTGGATTCCCAGTTCCAATAGTTTATTGTCACCTTACCTCACCCTCTCTAACATGTGGGACTCCTTCAGTTGCAAGCAATGGAAGCAATGGCAGGTGAGTGGTGGAGCAGTATTCAGCTAAGGAGCTGGGCTCCAGAACCTGTCCTTTTAACCACTATACTATAGCTGTCTTTTTAAAGCCATATATATTATATATGTGTATGAATGAAATTATGTATAATTGATACAAACTGCACAATTTAATAAGTTTTGACATACCCATGAAATCATCAGCACAAACCTCAAGTTGAAATTTGATCCCCAGTGTTGGAGGTGGGGTCTGATGAGAGGTGTTTGGGTGATGGGGGCAAATCTCATGAATAGATTGATGTCCTCCCTTGGTGGTGAGTGAGTTCTCACTCTGTTAGCTCCTGAGAGAGATGGTTGTTTAAAAGAGCCTGGCACCTCCCCTCTCACTCTCTTGTTTCCTCTCTCACCGCGTGACCTCTGCACACACCAGCTGCCCTTCACCTTCTGCCATGAGTGGAAGCAGCTCGAGTTCCTCACCAGAAACAGATGCCCCAATCTTGGACTTTCTAACCATCAGAATCATAAGCCAAATAAACCTTTTTTCTTTATAAATTACCCAGCCTCAGGTATTCCTTTATAGCAACACAAACAGACTAAGGCATCATCCCCAAGAAACAACTGGTCTTTCTGTCACTATAGATCAGTTTGCATTTCCTAGAGCTTTATATAAATGGAATCATATACTATGTATTTTTGTCTGACTTTTTTCATTCAGCATACTTATCTGAGATTCATCCATGTGCTTATGTGTATCAATAGTCTGTTCCTTATTTGTGAGTAGTATTCCATTGTATGGAATTTGTTTATTCATCTGCTGATAGACATTTGAGTTTTCAGTTTTGGCTATTATAAATAAAGTTGCTATGAACAAGTGAAGCAGTAAGATGGCTGGATTATATGGTAGGTGTGTGTTTCTAATTCTGTTGTGGACAGGAACTTTATATGACATGAATCATTTTGACTTTACTGAGACTTGTTTATGGCCCAAAATATGGTCCATCTTGGTAAAAGCTCATATGCAGCTCAAATTGTTCCTGGGTGGAGTGTTCTATAAATGTCAATCAGGTCAAGCTGATTGATAGTGGTGTTCAAGTCTGTGATAATTCTTGCTGATTTTCTGCCTGCTTTTTCTATCAGCGATTGAGATAGGGGTCCTGAAATCTCTAAGTATAATCATTGATTTGTATATTTCCCCTTGCAGTTCTGTTTTTGCTATGTGTATTTTGTTAGATGCATATTGTCCTTTGGATGGATTTATCCCTAGTAATAGTCTTTGTTCTGAAATCTACTTTATCTGATGTTGATATAACCAATCCCACTTCCTTTTGACTAAAGGTAGCCTAGTATCTTTTTCCATCCTTTTACTTTTAACCTATTTATAATTAACGTGTGTTTCTTATAGGCAGCATATATTGATAGTTTGCTCTTGGGCTCAAGTGATCCTCCCTGTTCAGCCTCCTGAGTAGCAGGGACTACAGGTGCGTGCCACCATGCCTGACTACTTCCTAGTTCTTTAAAGATCTTACTCCACTGTCGTCTCGCTTGTATTTTTGCCTTCAACAGCAAATTTGATATTGTCCTTATCTTTGTTCCATCTGTATGTATCAAGTCTTTTCTCTCTGATTGCTTTTAAGATTTTCTCTACATTACTGATTTTGAGCCATTTGATTATGAGGTGGCTTGGTGTAGTTTTCATGGTTTCTTTTTTTTTTTTTCAGAAAAAACTGGTCCTTCATCGAGTTTCTTGTGTTTAGGATTTGTTGAGCTCCTCAGATCTGTGTGTTTATAGTTTTCATGAAGCTTGGAAAGTTTTAGGACATTATTTCTTCAGATATTTTTTCTGTCGCTCATTTCTCTTCTTTCCTTCAGCAATTCTGATTGCCCATATGTTAGGCTGCTTGAAGTAGTCCAGCCACTGATGCTCTTTTCTTTTTCTTTTCCTTTGTTTTGTTTTGATTCTTTTATCTGTGTTTCATTTTGGATAGTTTCTATTGCTATTCTTTTGAATTCACTAGTTTTCTGTCATGTCTAATCTGCCATGAATCCCATCCAGTGTATTTTTTGTCTCAGACATTGTCTTTTCATCTCTAGATATTGATGTAGGTCTACTTTCATATCTTCCATGTCTCTACTTTCTTTTATTGTGATAAAATGTACACAACATAAAATTTACTGTTTTAACTATTTTAAAGTATACAGTTCGGTGGCATTCAGTATGTTTACAATGTTATACAACCATTACCACTATCCATCTCCAGAACTTTTTCATCATCCCAAATTGAAACTCTGTACCCATTAAATAGTAACTACCCATTCCCCCTTATCCCAGTCCCTAGTGACCACTATTGTACTTTCTGTCTCTGTGCTCTGTGAATTTGACTATTCCAGATGCCTCATGTGAGTGGAATCACAAAATTTGTCCATTTGTGCCTGCCTTATTTACTTAGCATAATGTCTTCAAAGTTCATCCATTGTAACTTGTGTCAGAATTTCATTACTTTTATAAGTCTGAATAATATTCCATTGTATGTACATGATGTTTTGTTTATCCATTCATCCATCAGTGGATATTCGGGTTATTTTCACCTTTTAGCTATCGTGAATAATGCTGTGAGCACTGGTATACAAATACCTGTCTCAGTCCCTGCTTTCAATTCTTTTGAGTGTATACCTAGGAGTAGAATGGCTGGATCATATGGTAATTCTTTGTTTAAGTTTTTGAGGAACTGCCACACTGTTTTCCACAGTGGATGCATCATTTTACCTTCCCATCAGCAATGCCCAGGGCTCCAGTTTGTCCATGTCCTCACCAATACTTGTTATTACTGTTTTTGATTATACCCATCCTAGTGGGTATGAAGTGGTATCTCATTGTGGTTTTGACTTGTATCACCTAATGTTTAATGATGCTGAACATCTTTTCATGTGCTTATTGCCATTTGTATATCTTCTTTGGAGAAATGTCTATTCTAGTCCTTTGCCCATTTCTTACTTAGGTTGTTTTTTCTTGTTGAGCTATAGTTCTTTGTATATTCTAGATATTAAACCTATACCAGATATCTGATTTACAAATGTTTTCTCCCATTCTGTGGGTTGCCTTTTTCATTCTGTTGATAGTGTCCTTTGATGAACAAAAGTTTAGTTTTTTAAATTAAAAAAAAAATTTTAGCAATAGCATCTCGCTAAGTTGCCCAGGCTGGAGTGCAGTTGGCTATTCCCAGCCGCAATCATAATGCACTACATTCCTGCGCTCAAGCAATCCTCCCACCTTGGCCTCCCGAGTAGCTAGGACTATGGGTGTGTGCTACTACACTCACCCAAAAGTTTAAGGAATTCCAATTTATCTATTTTTTTCTTTTGTCACTTGTGTTTTTAGTGTCATATCCAAGAAATCATTGCCCAGTCCACTGTGATGAAGCTTTTTCTCTATGTTTTCTTCTAAGAGTTTTATAATTTTAGCTCTTACATTTAGGTCTTTGATCTAGTTTGAGTTAAGTTTTGTATGTGGTGTAAGGTAACAATCCAAATTCATTCTTCTGCTTGTGGATATCCAGTTCTCCCAACACCATTTGTTAAAAGGACTATCCTTTCCCCATTGAATGATTTGGCACCCTTGTCAAAAATCTTTTGACCATACATGTGAGGGTATACTGAATTTTTTGAACATATGGAATAAAATTAGAATAACTCGTATTTATCTGTCCATGTTAACATTTCTTTCAGTTGTGGGTTGGTTTTGATGATTTCCCTCATTTTGGATTGTGTTGCCTGCCACTCTGCAGGCCTGATAATCTTTGGATGCCAGACATTGTGAATTTTACCTTGTTGCATGCTGGATATACTAATATTTGTGATCTATAATTCCCCTTGACCTTTCTTCTGGGTTATTTTTTTTTTCTTCTGGGTTATTTAATTTACTTGGAAACAGTTGAATCCTTACAGGTCTTGTTCACAAGATTTTGTTTTAGGTAAATCCAACCAGTGCTCATTCTAGAACTAATTATTTGCCACTACTGAGCAAGAGCTTCCTGGGTACCCTGCCTAATACCCCGTGACACCCTAGGCCATGATGGCTGTTGGGAACAAACACCATTTCCCACCCAGGTGAGAAGTAGGCACTGTTCCCTCTAATTCTTCCTGATGGTTCTCTTTTTTTTCCTTGTTCTTTTTCATATCAGACAGGTAATGTGCCCACGTAGTAACAAGGTTTGAGGCAGGCACATTTCATGCATGCGTGTGAAAACCCAATCATCATACTTATGAACTACAAAAGGATCTTCCCTGATGGTTCTTTACCTGGCCTTAGGTAGTTTCCTCACACTCATATGCTGAAATTCTGCTGAATATTCAAAGACACCCTCTGCCGATGTCCAGGGGTTTCTCTTTGTGCAGCTGTCTCCTCTCTGGTGTTCTGTCCTGTACACTCTTGGTCTTCCCAGACACTTAGCTCTGTCTCCCCAACTCATGGCATTCACTGGCTCCACTTTAGTTCCCCTCCCTATGCTGTAGCCCCTCAAGGCTGGGGGCAATCATAGGGCTCACCTCATTTGTTTCCCATCAGTCTAGAATCACTGTCCTCTGTTGGTCAATGTCCAGAGCCTTGAAAACCACTGTTAAATGTTTTTTATCTGGATTTTCTGGTTGTTTCAGGTGGGGAGGTAAACCTGATCCCTGTTACTCCGTCTTGGCTAGAAACAGAAGTCTCTACAGCTCCCTTTTTTCCCCTATACGATCACAGGGTCTCTGAAGGACTGTGTTGAGTTAGTATTACTAAGTGTAAGGGCTGCTCACACAGCAAGTGCCCAGTCGTTTATTCTTGCCTCACCCACCCAAGGGGAGTCTAAAGGGCCTGCCTCCTAGGAATCTGAGTTTGGCAGTGACTTGGCTCAATGTAAGGAACTTTCTAGGTCCAGAAATATTGCAGTTGGACTTATGCTGGCCCAGAAGTCATACATATCACGGGGTGGAAGTGCCAGCTAGAAGTATCCCATAGAAGGGCTGAATTATGACTGTGAGCCCCTACAGGCGATCATCTTAGCTGCCCCACTATTATGGGCAGACATCCATTTCCCCTGATGCTTGGTCTAAGCAAGTCACTCCACCCTGCCAATAACTGATTCAAGAGTGGGCACGTGACCTAGTTCTAGCCAGTAAGATACAGGACCAGGAAAAGTCTACAGTGGCTTCTGGGAAAGTTTTCCTCCATTTTAACAGCAGATATAGTAAGACACAGCCTTCTCTGAAGCTGCCACATCCCAGTGTGACTCTTGGAGCTACTGCTGCTGTCTTGGCACCAATGAAAATGGAACCAACAAGGATGGCATGCCGATCAGAGGAAGAGGCATGATTGAGCTAATGAATCAAATAGCCCCAACGCCTGTACAAGTCACCTCTGGATATTCATGTAAGAAAAAACAGTCTATTGTTTAACTCAATTAAAGTTAAGAGTCTCTAATAGATGCCACCAAAAGCACTGACACTGAGCCAGCCACCTGGAGGTGCATGGGGAGTGGGAGGCCCCTGTAATGGACTTTTTCCTCCTGCTAAGGAGTTCCAAATTCCTCCTTTGGATGAGGAAACAGCTGACAGCTGTGAAAAGACATGCCCAAGGCCAGACAGTGGGGAATTGGCAAGAGCAGACAGCAGCCCCTTGCAGGCCTATCAGCCTTCCAACTGGTACCTGATCAACCACAGCCCTGCACCCCAAGATCCTGAGTCAGCTTTGATGGTGGGGCCTGCAGGTGGGTGCCTCAAAGTTCACACACTCAAGTCAACATTTAGTTGCCCTGCAGAGCAAGGGCAAGCAGACACCAGGGACTTCCCTGAATTTTTGTGCTGAAATAGTATCCTTGGAGGAAAATATCAAAGTCCCCTGAGCTGTAATCAAGAAAGTTGTAGATTACAAGTAATTGCCGTAGTTTCGGGACAGATTTTTCTCAGATCGAAAAGAACTTGTCCAAAGTTCGTTCCCAGGTAAACAGAACAGGGCAGACACCTGAAACTGGAGGTGAGCAAAACCCTCAGATCTGAGGCTTGTGTTTGCTCTCCACGCCAGAGCAGAAAACCCCCTCCTTAGCCAGGCCTCCTTCCTCCACCCTTGGAGCACACATGAGCCTCATGGCCATCTCTGTAGTAGGGATCAGGAATGGGCCTGAGGACATTTACTGCCCCAACTCCAAGACTGCCTGGAAAGGGCTGCCTTGGGCAGTAGAGACTTCCTATCCTCAGAGATACTCCAAACCCTGGAAGGCTCTTCAGCAGGTGTCCATGCCTTTGTACATGCTGTCCCCTTGCCAGGGTTGCCTGTCTTCCCTTTGCCACCTGAAAGAGCCTCCTGAACCTCGAAGATGTGGAGCATTCATTCATCCCACAAAGAATTACGAAGCCCCCAACTGTACCAGGTGCTATGCTAGGTAAGGGGGATTCAGCAGTGGGTAAAACAAAGTCCCCAAGAGTGTACAGAAAAAGGCAAATAAATAAATGAATATACAATATAACATCGGTGGTTCTAAGTGCTGTAACAAAATCCAAATCAGAGAAAGGGGAGGGAGAATGACAGGGTGATTTTTAGAAAGGGTGGTCAGGGAAGGCTTCCCCTGAACAAGTGAAACTAACAGTTGAGCCAAAAAACCTTAATGAAGTGAGGAGCCAGCCATGCAAGTATCTGGAGAAGGTTCTAGGCAGAGGGAAGAGGAAGGTCTTGAGCCAGGTTTGAAGACTAGCAAGAGGTTAGTGTAGCTGGAAAGTGATTCAAAGCAGGAGAAGCACAGGAGATGAAGTAGGCGAGGTGACCAGAGGTCAGATCACGAGGGCCTTGCAGGCCGTGCAGAACATGTTGCCTCTTCCTCTTGGGTGAGGTTGGAGCCTTTGGAGGAGAAGGACGTAGTCTGACTCAGGTTTAGAGACCCACTCTGCCTGCTGTATCCTGCTGTTTCTCTGCCACATAGTAGGTGCTCAATAAACATCGGTGGTTATCATCACTGTTTTTCAGCCTCACCACTGGACCCTTGAGCTCACTGAAGGCAGGGACCAGAACAGCCATCTCGCACCTAGTGGTGGTGCTAAATATTTGTAGATAAACAAATGGTTGACTCAAGCATAAACAAGTGAGCAAGCAGGAGTGGGTTTTGAGGACGAGACTCACACCCCAGAAGAGTGGATGGGGTGTGCAGCTGTTGCAGTGAAAAGGGAGCATGCCAGTGGCTGTGTAGCAGAAAGAGCAGGTAAGCACCTGTTGTAGTAAAGTACCATTGTCCAGGACCTAAGGGCATTCAGGATGCAGCTGGGCCCAAATTTGTATAGCAGGAGCCAAAGTGGACCTGCCACCCCCAGGCACAGGCCAGGCAAACCACATGGGGCACCAGCTCCCAGGACTGCCAGGATGCTTAGAGGCTCACACTGATTCCCCTGGGACCATCAGGGACAGGCCTTTGGCACAAAAAGACACCCAGAAGGTACAGCCCAGCCAGACATTGGTTCCCAAAATTCTGGTTTTAGGTGGTATTTGGAGGTGGCAGAGGTTATGGGCTGGGGCAAACATGGAGGGCTTCCTGGAAGAGCTGCAGCCTGGATGGACAGATAAGGTTCCCACTGAAGATACTGGGGATCTATAAGTGCAGACACTCTCCTCCCTTTTTGCCAGCTGCCCGGTGAGATCGCCCCACCTCTGAGCCACAGTGGCTGCCCCTCCCCACTATCCCCAGGATAATGCCTGGGCTTGGTGGTCAGAGTTCCTGTTCTCAGAAAGTGGCCTCAGCCTACACATCCAGCCTTGCCTCTCCCAAGCAGCCACACCTAGGGCACAGGCTGTGCCCTAAACACATCATACATTCTCATACTCCAGTGCCTTTGCTCATGCTGTTTGCTCTGCTAGGAATTCCCTTCCATAGGCCTACTTTCTAAACTCCTGTGCATTCCTCAAAGCCCAACTCCAGTGTTCCAGCTTCAAAGAAGTCTCCACCCTCTGATCCCACATCATCACATACAGTTAGGGTGAACTGTATACCAGGCTGGACTTAGTTGGGTTCTGTCTCCTTGAGGTGGGCAGTGAGGCCTCTTGCCTGGTGTGATTATTAGTAGCGACCCCTTTCACTCCCAGATGTGTTCCAGCTGGACGACAACTTATGTGGCCACCCTTCATCATCCCCACCCTTCTCCACCCAACTAAAACCCTTTGGGCAGGAACCATGCCTTGTTCTTTATTTTGTCAGAGCCTAGCATAGTACCCCGACTGTAGATAAAGTCATCCCCTCACCCCAGTAATTTTTTAGATGTTGGATACTGAACCACATTGGGTAAAACAGCAGATGGACGGGTCCCTGTTCTCCTGACACATGTGAAAGGGGAAAGAAGATAAGAAAACAAGATCATTTCAGAGAGTTACAAGTGACATGGAGAAAATCACCAAGGGAAGGAAGAGATGGGGAGGAGGGGAGGATTATTTTAGACAGGCTGGGCAGGGAAGGCCTCTGAAGTGGCATTTGAGGCCTGAATGAATTGAGGGAGTCAGAGATGAAACTATCTGCAGGAGGAAAATTCCAGAGAGGGAAAAACAAGTGCTAAAACCTGAGGCTGGGCATGCATGGTGTGTTTAAGGAGCAGCAGAGAGGCCAGTGTGGGGGGAGCAGAGAGCAAAGGGGAGATCAATGGGCGATGCGGGCAGGGGCCAGAAAATGCAGCACTTTATCATCTGCAATAAGGAATTAGGATTTTTTTTTTAAACCAATGGAGGGAATGGGGGAGTAACATGATCTAAGTTATTTTTTCCCCAGACAGAAAGGTTTTTATTTTTTCATCATGCATACAATGAAGACAAGTGCCACAAATCCCCTTAATGATTGGACAAAGCCATCTTAGGACTATAGCACTGTTTACAAGCAGTGATGTCAGTTACAGTGATGTCAATTACAGCACGTCTACCAGGGCACAAATTCAAGACTATTAGAGTTACAGATTTCTTTCTGGAGGTTATCCTTACAGAACATGGTAATAACTTCCAGTCGTAAGTCCCACAAAACCTCCTTATTCAAATTCCACTCCTAAGTACAGAGTTATAGTAATAGGCCACAGCAACTTGATAACAATTGTGAATAGTCACGTAAGTTTCCAAACAGCACAGAAGAAGTACATTGACAATCCTGTGAAAGTTCTCAGCTAAAAGCAACAAGCAGGCCTGCGCAGCTCAATACCCCCGCGAGCTGAAACACAGGAAAGGATGCAAAGGGTCTGATTTCAAAGCAGCAAAATAAAAAGCATATAGCATTAGCTTTCTATATACACTTGGTCAGACTGAGAGAAAATCTCTAAAGCTGCAGTGTTCTGTTATTCTTCTAACTTACAAAACACTGGTGAATGAAAAAAGCAAAAATCAGGGGCTCTCCTACCATCTCTCAGCCATCTGCCTTTTCAGCTGTCTCCGGCTCACTGCACTCCCCTGCCAACAGCACCCTCTCCACTGTAGGGCTCCCCAGGCCCTGGGGAGCAGAAGACAAGGACTTCCACGGGAAGGGGTCTGGGGTGGTCACCACACCTCCTTCCCTCAAGTGAAATGGACACAGACAGCCCTGCCAGGCTGGTGGGGGGACTTGGAGGGGAGTGGCAGCTCAGCTGTTGTACCTATAGAAACCCATGACGGTGCGCTTCAAGTTAGTGATAAGTTTAAAAAAAAAGAAAAGAAACCCATGGTGAGTTTGGACCTGGTGGAGGAGGAAGAAAGAGTCGGGGGCTAATGTTAGTCTAAAAGAACACAGCATAAAATGAAATGATTAACTAGTCCTGCCCCTGGCAACTTCCTGGTCTCTTTGTTCAGCAGCCTTTGCACTGTCCCCTTTTGAAGATTCTAGGCCTTGCTGAAGGGGGTGGGGCATGGGCACAGAGCGGGCAAAGAGAGCGCTGCAGTTTACAGGACCAGCTCTCCCTCTCTGGGGACAGACAAAGGGAGGCAAATTCAACAAGAAGGTCTGTCTACTTAGCTGTGTGTAAAAAACCTTGCTTCTTCAGTTGTTTTTGTTTCTGAGCCATCACTTTAAAGAAAAATGATGTGAGATCTGGGCAGGTGTAGACAAGCCCCATGACCAGAAACCCCCTCCCCAGTACCCGCAACCTGGCAGCCTGAAAACATGCAGAGGCAGGGAAGCTGGCAAAGCGCCTGGATTTGGTGCAGGTCCAGTAACTGGGGCTCAGAAAGGTGGATTCCTGGAAGGGATCCCATCCTTGTCCGTGTCTTGAGCACATGCCCAGATACGCCAGCCTGGTAGAGTTCCTGGGGGATTAGGGGCTCTCCTGGGCATTGGCAGGTGGCCCACCTGGGTCCACAGGCAGTTCTTGAGGTGCTAGTAGATCTAGGAGCAGGCAACAGGGCTGATGATAGCCCAGGCAAAACTCATCAGAAAGGTGACGGCCAGGCATTGGTGGGGCACAACACGGACCTTCACAAGCTGATAGCAGGCTGTGATACAGGACCAAACAGGACAGGAAAAGCAGTATGATCACAAAGAATGTGCTGCCACATGTTCAAAAGTCCACTTGGTGGTAGCCTGGCCCGTGCTTCTGAAGTCATGGAATGTCCAAGTCTGGTTGGCAGCCGGCACCAAATGCACACCCTTCATCTTGGGTAATGAGATTCCGCTTGCCACACCCAGTGTGTGGGGCCACCGTGAGCACAGCCAGCACGAATATGAAGCCCAGCATGCTGTGGCCTTGAAGCAGTACGCCTCGAAGAGGGACTGGTCTTCCTAGTGATGACTTGTGGGTGCCTGTGTCAAAAATGGGCGGGAAGGCCACTGTCATATAGATAGGTCCAGGCCATGAAGATGATGGCAGTACACATCCACAGCATGGAGTGCTTGGTGTGGATGCAGTGGCTTATGACAGTCACATGATGTTGACCCAGAACTGCATGAAGGCCATGTGGAAACAGTAGAGACTGGCCATGAGGGCCACAATCTTGGAGTTCAGTCCACGAACATGCAGAGGAGCCGGTGTGCACAGAACAGAAAGCAGACAGCAAAGTGCTCGCCACTGGCCTAAGCCCAGGTCCACAGGTGAAAGGGGGTCTTACGCAGGCACCACATCCTAGGGCGGGACTTAGCCAGACTGGTATCCGTAGGGCCTAGGAAGGGCATCTCTGGGCCACCTTGCTAGGCCTCCCCTGGCTCTGTAGGACCTATCCCCCAGCAGGTAGTACTGCAGGGGGTTGGGCCACAGTTCATCTTTAATAATCTGGGCAACCCTGTCGACCTCTGGGAGGCTGTGCTGTGAAAACCAGCTGAAGAAGCTTCGGACGGTGTCCCGGTTCCTGTGTACCAGGGCCGGAGGTTCCTGGCCTCGGTGCCATCGGATAGGAGTTGCAATACACACCACTTGGCCGGAGGATCTGCACTCGTACTCCTTCACTATCACCTTGTTCCGGAAGTAGGGGTTATTCCAAAAGCGGAACTTGAACTTGCAACCTGTTCTGGCGTGCCTGAGCTCCCTCACCTCCAAATTCATCAAGTAGCAGAGCATGTCTTCATCTCGGGGGCTAATCAAGGCTGACAGCTGCTGGTGGTTCAGGAAGGCAGTGACCCAGAAGCCAGGAATATTCTGGATGATGAAGCTCCTACGAGCTAGGTGCAACCTGCGCATCCGCCCTAAACTGCGCTGGAGCCCGAGGTAGGCCCTCTCGGCCTGGGCACGCACGGCCTCCAGCTCCCACTGGAGGTCCACAATTAGGCCATCAAGGTTCACGGGGGCCGGGGCCTCAGGGGCCTCCGCGCTCACCTCCGGCTTCTCCTCCCCCACCTGCTGCTTCTCCATCTCCGCGGCCTCCTCCATGAAGATGGCGCCCTGCTCCGTCGTCACTTCCTCCGTCTTCCCGCAGGCTCCCGCCCGTGCCCCTCGGCCCTCTGCGCCACAGGTTTCTGGGGCCTCGTCCCTGACCAGGCTGTTTTCCAGGCTTGGGGCGGTCGCCGCGGAGGCGGCTTCCCGGCGTCCGGGGATAGGCGGGGCAGTCCCGGGGCCCGCTGCGGGGCCGGACTGGCAGCGCTCCTCGGCTTCTCGGGCCCCGATCGCGGGGACCAGGCGCGCGCCCCGCTCCTGCGCAGGGCCGGGCTGCGGGTGCGCGGCGCTTTCCCGGGCTCCCGCCCTCTCGTCCGCCATCACCTGCGGGAGCCTCCGGCCGGGAGAGGCTCGCGGCTCGCGGGCAAGACTGCGGGTTCTGCGCGAGGGGCGGCGGCTGACGGCGGCTGACGGCGGCGGCGGCTGCGGCGGCGGCGGGACCGCGGTCGGGAAGCTCCGCCCCTCGCGCCCCTCACCCCCTCTGGGTGTGATTCGCCAGGGTCCCTCGGCCTGGAGGCCTGGCGGAGGGATAGGGGGCTGCCGGTGGGGACGCGAGCGCAGGCGCCAGACAGAGCTGGCCGCAGATTAGTCAGACGCTGGCCGTGGAGGTGGGGTACCAAGCAAGGGGCAGCATGGAGCAGACGCCAGGAGACAGGCCCCACCCCAGTCAAGGACAGTTATAACCTTCCCTTCACAGGCACCAAGCCGAGCGACTACTGTTACCGGATCTGCGGTGGGCGGGCGGGAGTCGCCCAGCTCCCACACTCGGTGGTGCTGTGGGGCAGCTGTAGAACACTTGCAGCCTTGCACGGGATAAATTACCCTGGCACTGCAGAGGGCTCAAGAGGTATCCCGTGCAAAGACTGACGAGACCCAAACTGGGAGCTACAGATGATGGTAATAATTGCCAGGCGCATGAAGGTGATTGAAATATTCATGTGGGGAGAATAAGCAAGGTCAGGAGTGGGAGGACCTGGGGCAAGGGGCAAAGGAGGGTCTTACGCCGCATACCAGGGAACAAGTGCGCATCGGCCTGGTTTCCCCCACAGGAGCTGGGTCCTCCTGGGCTGGTTGGCTGAAACCAGGCCGACCTTGCCTCACCTTCCAGGGGTGGGGAACCTGCGGCCCTAAGGAAACACGTAGCCTTCCTGGTCCTTAAGTGTGGCCTTTTGACTGAGTCCAAATTTTACATAACAAATCCTTTTATTAAAAGGGGTGCAGCAGAGGAAGATGAAGCTTTTCTTGCCTCCTTTGGTGCTTAAAAAAGAACAATGTTGAAATCAGAAGGCCGCAGGTTCCCCACTCCTGCCAGCTTAGGTAGGCTAAGGCTGGATTGGACCAGCCTCTAGTCCTTGATCTGTGGTCTCGGCTCCCAAACTTGTGAGGTCAGTACGCCTAATGCCCACTTCTGCCAGGAAGTCCTTGCCACCTCCTCCAGAAAGTCTTCGGCCTTCTTCTCCCTGATGGATACAACAGCTTCCTCATCTGAGCCCCCACACCTATACTGGGGTATACACCTGAGAGGGCAAGGTGGATTTCCTTGGGGTCCTAGCTGGGGTTCTGACCCATTGGGGTAGACAGTTGTCATTTGTCAAGTAAGCATAAGGTCAAAGAGATGAAGGGCCAGCCCACTCTACCTTCGTACACAAAACACCTGCACTTGTTAATGTCCCCCCACCCCCGCCGCGGGATCTTGGGCTGGACGCCAAGTGACGCGTGTTCCTTAGCTATGAACACTGGCTCCAGACCACGGGAAACTGAGGTCAGTCCGAGCCCTTAATGGGAGGATCTCAGCACAAGGGGTGGGGCCCAGGAACACGGCGTCTCCCTTTGTTGAGACTGGCCAAGCAATGGATGTCAGGTGAAGCCATGTCAGCCTCTCAACAGTTGGTCTGAGCCCAATGGTTGGGCACAAGTGTAGGTAAGGTCAGGTCCTAGGTCATCAGCTAGCTGTGAACCTCAAGCAGTGGGTGACTATGGTGGACATCTGTCTTGTATAACCAGCATCCATTCCTCATCTTAAGAGTACCCCAAATCTCCTTTGAGAAACCCCTCTTCCCCTTGTCTCAGCCTTATTCTCACTGGCTTATGGTGACTGCTTGTGGGATGGCACAGAACCCCATCAAGGCCAATGAAACAGGATGCTTACTGGGGCTTCTGTGAATAAAAGGAGTGGAGTCCTCTTTCCTGAGAGCCTGGCATCATGGCAGCATTCTATTCCTACACAAAGGGAAAACCTACTTTTTAGTGCCTGAAGATGAACTCACAAGTACACAAGATAGGGCCGAAAGAAATAGGAAGGAATGCTAAGGCCAATCATGTTTGAGCTACTGGATCAAACCTAACCTAAAGACTGCACTGCATGTGGTATTTAAAATTTTTGTTTTGTTTTGTTTTTAGAGACAAGGTCTCACTCTGTCACCCAGGCTAGAGTGCAGTGGATGATCATAGCTCACCGCAGCCTCAAACTCCTGGGCTCAAGCAATCCTCCCACCTCAGCCTCCTGAGTAGCTGGGACTAGAGGTGTGCAACACCACGCCCTGCTAATTTTTCTTATTTTTTGTAAAGACAGGGTCTCACTATGTTGCCAGGCTGGTCTCAAACTCCTGTCCTCAAGTGATCCTCCCACCTTGGCCTCTCAAGCTGATAGGCACGAGCCACTGCGCCCAGCTGTGGCATTTTCAGTTACATGAAATTTCACTGTTTAAAGCCAATTTGATTTGGGTTTTCTGACCCTTGCATCCAAGATGATTAATTGATAGGATGATGCCACTTACCCCAAAGACATTCAAATAAGATTTTTAATTTCAAAGTACAAAGCTTGTAGGTGTTAATGGGAGAGGATGTTACTGTCTACCCTACACTCACCATCATCCACTCATCCACTCACCTGGATGCTAAAGATGTCTGAGATTCCAATTCTTCCCAATTCCAGGCTCTCTCCAACCCCTTCCCAATCAGACAGGTTCACAACTTCCAAACACATCATTCAGAAGTTTTTAATAAACAACTTCATTATAAAAACTTTTGAAAATGTAATTCTGTAAAACATTGAAAAATCTACTTTAACAAAGATACGCCCTGTGCATTTTCTAATGGCACTTATATTTTACAATTTAAAACCTTGTTTTATATAAAGCCAAAAATACTCCAAGAGGTTATTCACTGTGTTTACAAAGTGCTAGAAGATTTTTGTCTTGTATTTTTCTCTTTAAATAATCTGGCGTTACAAAAGAGTGGCTCCAAAGCCTTGACCGCTGGTAGGGAGGGAAGAGCATGAGAAGTGGTGTTTCAGGAGTTCTAGTGCCAAATATGCAGAGGTGGAGAGGTGCCTATGGGCAGAATCAGCTAAAGGAGTCAGCTGACACACGAAGCAACTGGAGTGGAAGTCTTCCAAACCTCTTCACGGAGGCACCAGATTATCACGGTGAACACCCCTTTCCCCTCGCCACAGACCCTACTCTCCAGTGGTGAAGGTCACGGCCAATTCCTTCCACAGCAGGTTCAGAGCTCCAGGAGAGGCCAGGGTGGGGTCCCAGAGGAATCTGGACTTTTCTGGCCAACACCTGCCTAAGGCAAAGTTTCTTATTACATAAATATCCTTGTTAAAAAGCAAAATATTGATCCTGTACAACATAACCTGTTAAAAAATCGTGCTTAAAAACAGCTCCTAGATAAGAGGGGGGGGTGGAAAGAGGGCGGAGAAAACAGCTACCAAAAAGGGAGGGTGGGATTTAAAGGGCTACTAGGGAAGGTTTAGGGTAGTGGGAGAATTCCAACTTAGGACAATATCTATGAGCAAAAAAGTAATCAAACCTGCTTCCCGAGTTTCCATTAACAAAAGGTTGAAGGGAAAAATTTCATTGGTGCTCCTTTCCCTGCCTCCCACCTCTTTAAGATGGTGCAGAGATCTTTTGAGCTGATACCTGGGCATGTCATCCCTTGCACTCAGCCCTGACCAGCTACTGTGTAGGGTGGGAGGTGCCTGCCCCACTGTTCAGGACAGCTCATCGCCGACAGGTGCTGGGGAAGGGGGGACATCACTCCTTTTTTCTGGTCCCTGATTGGTCTTTGCCACATGCCATGGCTCCTGTCCTAGGCAGATGTCCCTCAGGCTCTCATGGCCTCAGTAAAAGTACTGAAGTGAGTCTGGGTACTGAGTGTAGGATAAAGCTACTCTTATCCTTTGAACAACTAGGCCAATAAGGCTTTTTTTTTTTTTTTTTTTTAGTTTTGGGAAGGGGAGTTTAAGAAATGGCTGGGTGGCTATGGTCCGAAAAAGAGGTAAAGGCAGGTAATATTCCTCTGCACCAGCAAAATTCACAGTGATGGGAAAATTCCTTGCGGGTGGTGAGGGCATTGAGGGAAGAGGGAAGGAGACACAGGATGAAGGGAAGAGACAGGAGTGGAGGGAAGGCAAGAAGGCAAGATAGGAGGTGGGGGTAGGCCCCAGTGACAAGGTTTTAAATAGTTGCTTTGCTGGTTCTGAGTTTCCCAGCATCTCTTATGGGGAGAAAAGAATTCAAGGGAGGGACAGGAAAGAACAGGCAGAGAGGACAGGACTCCTCTAACAGCCCAGGACTTTATATTCTGTGGCCAGAGGCCCATTTGCCTCTACAAACTGAGGGTGCAGGGAAGGTGGCAGGCAAGGGAAGGAGGGTTGTGGGGCTAGTGATGAAGACCAGATACAACAAGGAGAATGGCAGCAATGAGTCCCACTTGGATTCTCACATACCATTTCCTATAATACGAGTCCCAGTAACATGCACAGCATGCAGGAGGTGTCTGCGTACCAAGGTAGACGCTTTTTAAAATAAACCTTAACTAGTCCCTGGGACTCACTGAAACTAATATTTAGAAGCAAATTGCCTAGTCTGATTCTAACCTTGCCAGACATTTTTATATCTGGTTTTGTTTTTTTAAAGGTATCCCAAACTATCCTGCCTAAATCAAAACATGCTTACTCACTCGACATTGCTTCCCGTCAAGGGCCAGGGAGCTAAATTTTAAGGCTTTCACCTCAAACAGGAGTACTGGCCTAGGCTGAAGCAGAAGCCTGAGTCTTGGACCTGCTCAGTTCCTGATAAAAAACCAAAGTGTGTCTAGACAGAAGCAGGGTGGGGAGGACTGGTGGGAGGCTGAGGCAGTTCCTTGGTAGTTTGTCCTGAAACCCTAGTGGAGAAGCCAGCAACAGGCACTCAGTGAGAGAAGTGCCCAGAACCTGCTGGCTGCATCTGTAGGAGTTAACAGTAAAGAGGTAGAAGTGTGTTTCTGAATCAGGTGTCTCAAGAGGGTCCCACAATGGAGGTCCCTGAGGTGCCTCCCTTCCACGAGTGGGAAGTGCGAAGCCCAGGCAGAACTGAGATGAAGCAAGGATGGGGTTCGTCTGGGTTCTGGGCAAGGGCTTTGCTGTCTGTAGCAATAAGCTCCCCAAGTCAGAAGAGAACTAATCATCTGTTGCAAGAAACCTTGCTGGATATTAGAAGCAAAACTGAAAGGGGCCACAAGAAGGTCGAAGTTCTTTGATGGAGAGCAGAGAAGCCTATGCGCAGTGGCCTGAGTCCATGGGGACTACAAAGTGGAAGAGACAGAAGGGACATTGTGGCTAAGAAAAATTTTGGTATGGGGGGCAACAATGTACTTAACTAACTGCCCAGTCCTAACTTTCTGAAAACTCTTCTTCCAACAATTCCACAACTTCCTGGAAAAGGGACAGATAGGAAGGAGACAAATGAGGGGCTCATACCCTCTCCTTTGCTATCCACTCCAACCTAGAACCCAGAGTCCCTCCTTCCAAGACTAATAACAACAGCGCATGATGTTCAGAGTGGGGATTAAGGAATGGGGAGGTGATAGAAGTATGCGTGCCTTTCATTTCTTCCCCTTTCCAGTTCAAAAGGAGGACGAAGGGGTCATGATGTACTTGGAGAAAAACAGAACTGCAGACCTGTGGGAAAACTGCTCCGATCTTCTTGCCCGTCTCCTGTGGACACTGCCGAGGAAGGCAGGAACAGATGCAGTCATGGAAGATGGCAGAGACTGAAGCAGTCCAAAGTCAGTTTATTTCCCCACGGGGGAAAAATGTGACCTCAAGTGAAGAGAAGTCAGTAAGACCCGACTCCGCCTTGTAAACAGGGCTCCAGTTAACACCAGGTACCAAACGGTTCAGGCTGGTGCCAACTGGAATGGACTGGTGGGAATGGATTCACGGTGTGTAAACAGTGTTCACTGCAATCATTCTAAGGCTAACAGCTTGGCAAGGGAGGTGAAATGGTGTATCTGAGGCGACTGTGTAAACGGTACCGTTGCTGGACAACACTGACTGGAAACGGAGGTGCTGGTACAGTAGGGATGGGGAGTGGTCGGGAAGAACAGAGGCTCTCTCTCCTGTTAGTTGGAAGCAGGCGATGGAGCCAAGTGACCTTCTACAGCAGGGCCTGACCAACTGACTGCGGTGGGGTCTGCAGGTTAGGACCAGAAGGCGGGCTTCTTGGGCGATTTCTCTTGAGGTCATCCAAGACGAAACCCTCCGTGTCTCCAAGAGGCCTCCCCCTTCTCCAAAGAGGAGGAGGTTCTGACGCTTTGGAGAGGAAGAGGACTAAGTGTGGCTCCCGATTCAGATCAAAAAAAAAAGTAAAAATACCTGAAGTCCTATGGTGTGAGATCTTTTCACGGGGTTGGGGCTCAAAGCTCCTCCTGGAATGAATCCTGGAGCCTGAACCCCCAAACCAAGTGCTCCATACAGACACTGGAATTTTTTCTTTTTGAACCCAGCTCTGAAAGCTCAGCTGCCTTCATCGGGGACACAGACGGGGTGGGTACTATGGCTCCCTGACAGAGCCAAAGACTGAGCTGCGGACCTCCGTGGGGGCTACTGGAATGCTTGGTGGAAACGAGGCAGGGTGGTGCTACTCAGGCCAGAGGTGAAGACAGGAGGCAAGGAGTGCAGAGGCCCAAAGTTCAGTGGTCCCCCAGTTCCTGGGGAATCTTGAGGCTGAGCTTGCAAAGTGGTGAGCAGGGGCTGCGCCTCAGCCTGGGAGTAGCCCATGACCAGGCCTCCTGTGGCCCCAGGCGGGTTACATGGGGGCAGGTTGAGTGGAAGAAAGCCCAGTAAGTGGGAGAAGTCCACATTAGCAGCGCAGAGGGCCTCAGAGAGGTTAGCGGGGCTCTTGGCGAGCAGTGCTTCATCTAGGAGGGCCGCAGCTGCCGCCGGCTGAGGTGAGGCGGGCTGGGGTTCAGCGGATGAGAGAGACAGGTTTCCAGGAAGCTCCGCCAGAAAACTATCCACCTCCACTTTGGGCAATTTGTCGGGCAAGTATGAGGTAGATCCAAGCTGGTATTTTGGAGGGAGCTGAGCTGGGGAAGAGATAGGTGAGGATTCCAGAGGGTAGCTCATACCCATGGGCAGCGTGTTGTGCACCAGGGAGTGTGGCACACCTGCACTGGGCACAGTAGGGATGTGGGCGCCATACATGCCCATGGGCAGCATGCCAGGAAAGGCCTTGGCCCCCATCACGTCCCGAGAGGCCATGCACAGCACGGGACTCAGCTCTTCCTTCACGCTAACCGTGGAGCTGCAGCTGAGTAGGCCTAACATGTCCACTGGCTCTGTCTTGATCTTGAGCAGCTCCTGCGAGTGGCTCTTTTTGACATGACGCGTCAGGTGGTCTTTGCGGCCGAACCGCTGGGCACAGTACTGGCACAAGAAGTCCTTACGGCCTGTGTGCACCACTAGGTGCCGCCGCACATCCTTACGAGTATAAAACCGGCGGTCGCAGTGGTCACAGGGGTGCTTCTTCTCCTTGGTACCACCTGCTACCCGGCGTGAGTGGGCCTTCAGATGCTCTAGCAGGGCCTGGGTACTCTCAAAGGTCTGCAGGCACACCTTGCAGCTGAGGTCACCGCTGCTGGCAGCATGCATAGCCAGGTGGCGCCGGTAGCCCAGCTTCGTATTGTAATTCTTACCACACTCGGAGCAATGGAGGGCCTCTTTGTTAGGGTCATGAGTCTGCAGATGGTTCCGCAGATGGTCCTTGCGGTGAAACATCTTATCACAGTACATGCACTGGTGGGGTTTCTGGGCTGAGTGGGTGGCCATGTGCCTGGGGATCGGGAAGAGGGATGGGGAGAAACCAGAAAAGAGGGGAGATCATAAGGGCTGAATGGACAACCAATGTGTCCATTAACAGGAAACTAGATACAAAAACTATGGTAAAGCCATGTAATGGAATACCATGCCAACTATATTCGAGAGATATCCTTGCCCACCTGCAAAATCATGTATGTACTGCTATTCTTAGCAGCATCATTTGTAGTAGCAAAAAATCAGAAACAATCAGAACATCCAATCAATAGGGAACTGGTTAAATTATGATGTCTATAAAATAACTCAATTTTTTTAAAAATGAGGCACCTTTATATGTACCTACACGGCACAAACTCCTGAGACATACAGTTAAGTGGGAAAAAAAGCAAATCGGCAGAATAGTGCACGTAGAATAGTACTCAGTATGTAAAAAGGAGGAAAATATTTGTGACATTTGCTTGTCTATGCTTAAAACATTTCTGGAAGGATACACAAGAAACTGACATGACTGGTTGCCCTCATGGAAAAAACTAGACAGGTTATATAGGTGGGTATGATGGAGAATTTTCATTGTATAACTTTTGGTGCCTTTTTGAATTATGAATTATGTGAATGTATTTCCTTTCAAAAAGTTACATTTAAATAATTTTAAATGACACGAGAGAAAAGGAAATGTATGTATACTTTCTGATCTAGAATGAATTCCCAAGATATATAGGGCTAAGTCAAAAAAGGAAGTTCAATACAGTGCATGTAACATAATCCCTTTTAAAAATAAAAAGGGAAGGGAATATATGTTTGAATGTCTCAGGAAGGACACACAAGAAACTAGCCCCAGTGGCTGCCTTTAGGGAGAGGAACAGTAGCTTCAAGTGTAAGGACAACTCATTCTTCACTGAACGACCATTTGTACTATTTGAGTTGCTTGCCACGTAAACCAGTAACAGATTAAGAAATGTTTTAATGGTATGGCACCTCAGTGTCCCTTGGTTCACCTGCTCCCATCTGGTTGGAAAGCAGCTCCGAATGCAGGAACTGCAATCCACTACTTCACAGTGCATTCAGAATCAACTCAGCAGGCCCTGCATAAGCTGTCATTAACCTTGTCCTCCAGAAGAGGAGGCTGAAGCACAGGGCAGCCCCACCTATCAGTCAGTAAGTGGCAGAGGCTGGATTTAAACACAACCTTCTTGAGACCTGAGTTCACTCAGGTATGCCACAGCTGTCTCTAGCATAGCATCCCGTGGTCCTTTCCACCTGGAGGGTATCAAACATTACCCTCATGCTACATGTGCATGCTCAAGAGTGCTCATGGCCATGTGGGTTGCTATCAGCCTCCTCTGACATAACTGACATGGTAACATATAAAAGGGAGATGCTGAGTGATCCACAGTCCATTTCCCTCATTTTGCAGGTGAGGAAACTGAGGCCCAAAGAGGTTTAGTAACTCACCTAAGATCACACAGTGAATTACAGGGTGAAGTCAGGGCTCCTGCCTCCTGGACCAGGACCTTTCCTGCAGCATCCCAATGGCACCCAGACCATCACTAAGAAAGTCTAAGAGGGTGGCCCTGACTAGAGTCCCCTAAGATATAGGAGCACACGGAGAATGAAAGCATTCCTGAGGATCACAGAACTGTCACGAGGACAATCCTAACTACCACACTACCCTGCTGCCTATTTTAGTTCCTTCCTATCAACTGTTTTCCAGATGAGGAACTGAGGCTTTCTGTGGTCATCTTGTTCATGTATTTACTTGTTTACCGTCTGCCCATGCTATTAAGACCATAAACTCAAGGAGGGCCAGCACCCTCCTGTCTGGCTCACCGCTCTGTCCCTAGCACTGAGCACTGTGACTGGTACCTAGCCGGAGCTCAATAAATAAAAGTTGAATAGATGAATGGATGGTTGGATGATTGTGCATCACGGTGGTCTATCTCATTTGTAAAGGGCAAGTTCATGATTCCTCCAATAGAAAGGCAAGGATAAAATCAAAATTGCTTTCAACCAGGCCTCCCCTCCCCACCAAAGCAACCAAAGCTGCTCTGCCATATCTGCCTTACACAAGGGCTTTCACATTCTGTTTCACTTTAAGCAGCAGTTCTTGAGCTTCCATGTTTCATAAAAGCAGCTGGCCCAGTGGGCACCAAGGAGATAGACATAATCACCTGAGTAGCAGGCTGATTCAGTGGAAGAGGCACTGCAGGACCTAAGACACTATGTGATCTTGGGTAAATTATGTCCCCACTCTGAGCCTCCACTTTAAAATTTACAGACTAGACTAGAGGGTCTACTTTTCCTTTTAAAGTTCTAAGACTGATCCTAATTTCTGGCTAAAATTCTAACCACCACCTGACACGGGTAGGAAAAGGAGCATTGAAAAAAATGTTGAGTCTAGTTTGTTCATGGCTGCCTGATATTGTAGCCATCAGGTAACTAGTGTCTGAATCAAGTGATCTGAATAATTTTTAGTGAGTGATATCAAATGTTTGGTGTTTAGGGTACACTTGTGGGACAAATTAATCTTCACTCTTCTTAACTCCACTCTTTCCCACATTCAGCAGGCTGTCTCTGGCTTTGTCTTCTGGAAATGTCAGGGCAGGAAGAGATATAAGAGTGTCACCTACCTATACAGCTTGTATTTGGAGGCAAAAGCCTTGCCACAGTGTAGCTGAGGGCAGCTATACGGTCTCTGCTCTGGATGGGGGAGGCTGTGAGGCCTCAGCTTCTCCCCATTTGAGAAGGGTGTCCCCGAGATTTCACATTGGCACTTCACTTGACTCTCCGCCTCTCGGCCCCGAGGCCTGGGAACTAGTTTCCAGCCCACTTCCTCCTCCTGCTTTGCATCTTGAATCCAGGGGGGGACGCTGGTGAAAAATGTGGTCATGGCAAGGCTAATGGCGAAGGGCCATGTTATTCAGAAAGCCTCCCCAAGAGCTGCACACGGGCTCTCTGCTCCGTCACAGCCTCCAACGCAGCCTTCAGAAAACAATCTTTTCACCTGAAACATAGAACACCTGGTGTTAGGGAGCCTAATACCATGAGAACATAGGCTCTGGAGGCAGACAGATCCATCCTGTTCTAACCCCAGCCCTTTTACTTAGAAGCTATGTGACTTCCAGCCAATTATTTACTTTAAGCCAATCACTTACTTCCCTGGCTATTTCCTCACTTATAAAATTGACATAATAATCTCCTAAATCATAAGGATGTTTTGAGAATTAAATGAGATCATGAATATAAAGCATTCAACAAAAGGCTAGGTACACAGTAAGTGCTTAGTGGTAACTATTACTACTACCAACTATGCCAATAAGAAACAAGATAAGCCGAGAAACTAAAAGACTTAAAACTTCAAACTTTCTCTTCTGGACCTCACTTTTATATCCTTTCCACTAAACCTAGAGATAGCAGTTCCTCCTCTTCCTAATTACCCTAGCACCTCCTCATCCACTACTTTCCACAACTTTCCTCCTCATGGAGGTGTGAAGGCGCAATAAAATGCCCAAAAGGCAACAGAGAAGGAAGGAGAAGGCTTTACTTAGGAAATTTACATCCTGGAAAGTCAGCCCCTGCACCAGTTGTGTTTCTCAGCAGCACATCAACATCAGTAGGTTCTATCTGAGGTGGTAATAGCAGACTCTTAGCATTTTCCCTAAACCAGTAGTGGTCCCATCCTGACCTCTGGGTCTTGGGGCCCAGAACATGCTTCTTTAGCAACACCCTAAGGTGCTGAGTGCCCCCCTACAGACCCTCAGAGTACATACATACGCACTTCTCCATTATGAGCAGGTTAACATACTTGCATTGGAATTTAGTCTTCACCACCACACTCTGATTCTTTGAGGACTCATATCACATCTCTTTCATCTCCATATACTTAACATCTAGAAAAGGAATCTCAACTTTCTTTTAGATAAGTAAATTAGTACTGAATGTAAGTTGATTCTCAGGGACTAACTTATACCCAGAAGTTCTGGCTAAAACCAGGTTTGCAGCTCTTTCAAAGTGGGGAGCCAAAATCTTGAGGTCTGATTACTTCTCTTATTGAGGGAGGGAGGGGCTGGTACAAGGTGACACAACTCCTTTCCTGACACCAACTCAAAGAGGATGGGAGTTACCATACTGCCTCTCAAAAGGGGACAACAGACCTTCATTCATACTCACAAACTTACCGCAGATTACCAACTGCAATACAATCTACTTAACAGGGGATTCCCTTTGAAGGTATCATGCCAAAATTTGGTCACGAAGCTCTTCCATGTGAAGAGAGAACAGGGGGAGTCTGGGGATTGTCCACCAGAATCTGGGGAGGGCTCCAACTGCACAAACTAGTTGTGGGCCACAGAATGCTTGCTCAGCTCATTAGCACCTGCTGCTTACAGTGACCATTCATCCAACAGACTGGCCGTGAACGAGATGATGGGATCAGCGGGTTCATGCCCCAGAGAGCTTTGCTCATCATCAACATGGGCTATGTCCTGTTCAGGAACCATTCCTCTTGTTGAAGAAACATTGCAATGTAACATGATAAACATTTCCCCATCACGAGTGGAGATTTGCCTAGAAAGATCTACATAAAGGTGGCTGCATTTTGCATGAATCACATGCTGGGAGGGGTAAGTAGCACTAAAAACTAGTCCCACTTGAGCCTTCAAGTCATCATGGCATATTTGCCTACTTCACTATAAACCTCAAAGGCCTCTGATGTCTGGCTTTCATTGTTTAAGTCCCCTCCTCCTTCACAAGGGTGGAATTACCTGTTTATAATACCAGTGATTACTACACACCTTGGAATTGGGTAGAGAGTGAGCTCAAGTGTGCATGTTTAGTTTGGAAGGAATTATTCCTATCTTCAAAGTCAAATTCTGCTTCCCCTTCATATCTGAAATCATGCACCTCAGCCTCTGGAAAGTCGGGAATGGCAGTAGAGGGAAACAAGTCACATCACTTTGGCTAATGTGAGAGGGTAGCCTAGCCCTGGAAATTCCGCACGAACTCAGAAAGAGAACAGTATGTCCCCACCTCCCACACGTCCACCTCATCTGTTCTCCTGAACAAGCACAAACAAGACACAGCAGTTTAGCACACTGCTACTGAAAGAGTGAGTAATGGGCTTCTAGGAAAGAGGCTGCTGGTGGCTAAGAAGAGGTCACGAGGTTGTACTGATAGAACCAAAGGAGGAAAGTGGCAGCCATGTGGTTGCCTTGATCTGCATTTAATGGGGATGTGGCCTTAAAAAGAACCCTTCTGGGGATCTAGTCTGTCCTCTGTCTCCCTCTGCCCTTTGTCTGTAAACTCCTCTCTTCCAGAAGATTCCTGGATTTGTCTCACATAATCAGAAGGCCTCTTCCTTCAGACTTCTCCTTCCTCAGCAAAACTGAAAGAATTCTACTTCTCTTTCAAAGCTGCTCTTCTGGTCTCACATTCTAACCTTAACAACTATAGAGAAGCTGACAGAACCTGTTTCCATAAAACAAACACAATCCCTCCCAGTTACTGGTGTAACTCAGTATATTTTCAGCCTAAGATTCTTTCTGGTGACTGATCTGAAAGGGGAGGCAGCATGGAAAGAACCTTGGACTTGCTATCAGAAAAGCTGCCACTTACTGGCAGGGAAACCATGGGCAGGTTACTTTATTTCTCTGAACCTGTTTCCTCAATTTCTAAAATAGAGATTTATTCTCCTTACCTATAAGATTCTTACAGAGGATTAAGTGAAATAATGCTCTTATAAGTGTCTGACATAAAATGTGTGCAGAATACTTGCAGTGCTCTGAGGTCTGCCTCTTTTCCGCACGAGGCCTGGCCTGAGTAGTACTTCTTCTCCCCCGCTTTAATGTTACTTCTCAGGGCTCAGAGTGAGTTTACTTCCTTTCCCAACATCTCCCCAGAATGTAGTCTTCCCCTTTTCCCTCACAACTAACCCCCAGCACATCCCCTCTAACCAGTCTCTTACTTTACCTTCCTCCAGCACCATCTCCTGGGCCCGAGTTCTCTCTTGCCCAGATAGCCACTTTCTTATACCCTCTTCTAATAAGGCTCCGTACCCCAAATAGGAATGCTTGCTAAACACTACGTATGACCCTGGTTGGAAGCTGAAATGGAGACATATTGCTCCCAGCCTGTCCGTCTTCTGTTGCATGCCATGATGCCTGCTGCCCTCTGATGAAACTATAGTTTTTATGGTGTTACATCATCTCTATAGAAACTGCGTTCTTTCTCCATTATTAGCCTGTTTCCTCATCTGTAAAGCTAAAAATACTTACCTCACAGGCTTGTTGTAAGGATTATTTTAGTCAGGTATGCAAAGGGCTCAGCATAGGGCTTAGCCTGCTATAAGTGCCCAACAAAAGAGAGCTATTATCTTTGTCTTTGTACTGAGTTGCATGTTCCCACCTTCTGCCACATTCAAATTCTCACAATTCTCCCCCCACCCCCACCAAAAAAACCCAAAAAACATTACTGAGAGATAGCACTCCTGCTGCAAGGAAAGGGTTAACCTCTGAGTGTTCTTAACTAAAGAGACCCACAGAGGATTAACAGCTCCACTTCAGTGACTACCCTAAAATAGCTTTTATCCCTCCTGCCCAAGAACTACTTGGGGATCTGAAGAACTCAATTCAACACCTGCCGGAGGAAATACACCCGGGAAGGTTCTTGGGGTAGAATCTTCCCTTAAGCAGAACCCAAAATAGCAACTGGGAAACTATAAATAGACTTAAAGAGAAAAAAAAAACAGGTCCTGACCTGGGTACTAGAAACAAATCCAAAAGACACACTGGCTGGCTGGAAAACAGTGAGAAGGAAAGGGGGGAATGGGAATGCTGCCCACCTCATGCACGCACGCTCGCTTGCGCTCTCTCTCTCTCTCTCTCTCTCACACACACACACACACACACACACACACACACACACACGCACACGCACACTCCAGAGTGGTGGGAGAATTAAATTACAGGGAGGCTGGAGAGTCTCAATGACTTGCATCATTCCAAGAAACATCAAACAGGATTAGCAGGGGTTAGATTTACTCTCAGGCTGCTAGTTCTTCTGTCAGTGTAGATGGGCCCTCTTTGGAGTCCCTTTGATTCACTATTTCCTCAGATTCCTGCTGCCTCCCACTACTGGGGAGGCCTTGAGCAAATGGCTGCAACTCACCACAGCCCCATTTTCACAGGGAGGAAACCTGATTAGACACCCCTCTTCCTCCCAATTTGGTGGCCTCACCTTAAGAGGGAAGGGTTAGAAACCCAAGGCCAGACTCTATCACAGTCCAAGGCTGACAGGTGGAAAAACACACAAGCCAGGAGACAGGCTACACTTGCAGGTGAGAGCACCAACTCCCCCATGCAGCTGTCCCCTTTTCCCCACCAAGCTGGGACACAGCGTGGGACTTGATTTGCAGGAAATAGCCTGGCTCCCAGCCAGCTTCTAGACCACCCCACTGTGTGGGGGGAAAGGTTAAATTTCCCCAGGACTGGAGAGATGGCAGTGGACCGGTGCTGGAGAAAGAAGGGAAATTCAGGCAGGAGTCTGGAAGGGATCTCAGGGATGGGAAAGAAGAGCAAGTATGGTAAGGAATCATGAGCAAGTTATCTGGGTCTCTAAGGGACCCCCCGCCAAAAAAAGAGATAGGGGGATTCTACGGGCTGGAGAGCTCCAGGGGTTGAAGATAGCTAGGTAGCTGAAGATAGGCTGAAATTCAAGAGGGTCTCAAAATGGGTAACCGGATGGAAGATGTCTGAAGTTTGGGAATATGGTCATTGAGCAGGAAACTACAGGTAGGGCTTATTCGGGTTCTCCAGACCCAGGTATTTGTGGGAAGCCTCAAAAGGGGTTATGTAAGTCTGGAAAACGAAACAGGGTAAAGAGCGGATCTTCTGGAGCAGGAAAGGGGGTTATGTGGGTCCGGGTAGGCGTGTCTGAAGGAAGGAGCAGGTGCAGCTTATCTACGTCCCCCAGACCCAGGTCTCTGGTAAGGTCGGCAGCGCGTTATCTGGGTCTCCAGGGAACCTGGGGGTCGGGAGTGGGGGACTCTCAGGACTGCGTCTCCGGATCTCGAAAGAGAGGGGGCCAGTGGGGCTTCTTCGGGTTCCCCAGACACAGGTATCGAGTCCAAGGAGAGTTTTCGTCACCCTGGAGCCTATCTGGGGCCGGGTTGGCTCAGACTGGGCCCCCGGTTCGGGGTGTGGGCGACCGCGCTGAGGGGCCCGAGATGAGGGGCGCCACCGCTCCGCGTACAGGGCGCGCGGACGCAGCGAGACGGCCTCCCGCCCCGCTCCCCGCCGTCCCCCGGGGTCCTCGCCGGAACTCACCGCGCTCCGGGCCCCGCGCTGCGGGCCGGGCCGCGCTCGGGCTCCGCCAGGCCAGCTCAGGCCCCGGTAGTGGCGGCGGTCGGGCCATTGTGCGGTGCATTGTGGGAGCCGCGCGAGCGGGCGCTCGGGCCGGAGGGGGCGGTGCCGCGGGATCTCTATGGTCCCGCCCGCCCGCAGGCTAGAGCGGCCCGGGCGGCGCGCGGGCGGCGCGCAGGGACCGTCGGGAGCGGGGCGGACGCTCGCGCCCCTCCTTCCCCCTTCGCTTGCGCTCTGCGGCGCGCTGGGGCTCCGGAGCCGACATGGGCGCCGCCGCGTGGGCACTGCTGCCCGTGACGCTGCGTGTGTCCCTCCTGTTGCTGCTTCTGTCGCTCCCGGGGCTGCCTGCGGGCTCCTGGGACCCGGCCGGTTACCTGCTCTACTGTCCCTGCATGGGTAAGGCCTCCCGAGCCCTCTGCTCACATGGAGAAACTGAGGCCTGGAGAGGAGAAGCCACTCTTCTGAGGCGTCCAGAGACACTTGACAGATCCAGGAGAGAACCCAAGAGCAGGGCAGGGCCTTCTCTTCTCCTCTCTGCCCTAGTTGCAAGGGCACAGAGAGACCGCCGTGTCCAACCTTCCAGTTGACAGATGAGAAACCTGAGGTTGGGAGAGGTTACGTGACTTGCTCGAGGTTTAAGCCAGCCCAGAGTCCAGTAAATGGAGTTAGTGGGGCAGGACTTGATGTCACTGATATACGCTGGCTCCTGGCAATTCTTTCATTCACTCAACGAATATTTATGGGGCACCTAGTCTGTGCCCGTATTCCCACTGTGCTGGGAATACGGCAGTGAATAAGACAGATAAACCCTATACCCTTGTAGAGTCTTCATTTGGGAAAGACAATAACGGGTAAACATAATAAATAAGTACATAATTTGGCAGATGATGAATGCTATGGGAAAATAAAAGAGCGCAAGGTAAGGGAGAATCTAAGGGCTATTGAGGGGTGCAATTTAAATGGGGTGCAGTGGATCATCATTGTAAAAGTCATTCGTTTTTAAAACCTTCCAATGGCTTCCAGACTCCTAACCATGGCCTTGAGGCCCTGCGTGGTTTTCCCCATCCCCTATCTCCACAGCTCCCTTCTTCCCTGATCCTATATCTAGCTCAGCCACACTTAGCTCCTTTCTGTTCCTCACATACTCAGGTCCTCTGGCCTGTGCCGTTGCATGTGCTATTCCCTACGCTTGGACTGTCCTCGCCTTCACTTCTGCCTGACCCACTGCTTCCCATTCTTCAGATCTCAGCTTAAATGTGACCAGAAAGGACTTCGCTGACCCATACTCAAGTCATCTCCTTGTTATTCCCCATCACCAAACGTTTTCTTTCTTGAAATTGTTAGAATTTATTACTATATATTTGTTTACATGTTTAGTGTCTCCCCAGCTGGACTGTGAGTGCCTTAAAGGCAGAGACTTTGTCCTTCTTGCTCACTCCTGTATCCCAGCATCTAGCATACAGCCTGGCACATTGTGATCTCTCAATAATATTCGTGGAATGAATGAGTGGATGCCATGCCGGGATTAACAAAAAGAATCAAACAGGGTCCTTGCCCCTGAGGCATTCACAGGCTGAGGAAACAGCCAGTACAAAGGCCAAGAAGTATGAAAAGACATTTGAGGAAAACAGAAGAATTTATGTAACTCAAATCCAAGGTAGGAGGCAGAGGAGGAAGAGCAAGTATGGCAGAGGGTTGGTGAAAGGATCTCAGTGAATGAGGCATTGGAATTGCCCCTACACATGCAGGTGAATGGAGATAGAGGTGGGAGGGCACTCCTGGCTGAGGGGACAGCAAGAGCAAAGGCATGAGGTGGGGATAGGAATTATAGAGCGTGTTGGGGAAACAGCAAGGAGCCTGGAGTGGCCAAGGCAGTTGGAGCAGGACCCGAAGGGCCATGGGTCTCAGACCCAGGAGTCCAGACTTGCTTTCATGCTCCTGGCTCCCCTAGCTCTCCTTGGTGTCCCAGCTTTCCCCACCCCTGACTCCACGTCCTTTCTGACCCCTGCATGTCCCATGCCCTCGATGCCCCAGGCCTCACCTCACCCCCAATGTACCATTTCCAGGGCGCTTTGGGAACCAGGCTGATCACTTCTTGGGCTCCCTGGCATTTGCAAAGCTGCTAAACCGCACCTTGGCTGTTCCTCCTTGGATCGAGTACCAGCATCACAAGCCTCCCTTCACCAATGTGAGTACTTGCCACTGACCTTGGCCCTTGTCTGCCCTTCCCCAGTCTTACCTGCTTCTGCCTCACGCCCAAATCCTTCTCTGGGCTTTACCTCCCACTCCTCTGAGCTCACTTTACCCCCCTCCCACAATTGTCTTCTCTGGAATAACAATGGCTAATGTTCATTCAGCACCTGCTGTGTGTTGGCACTGTTCTGAGCACTGCATGAGAATTAGCTCATTTCACCCTCATCACATCCCTGTGAGGAAACTGGAGTTTAGAGACTTTAGGTAACTTGCCCAAGATCACACAGCTTGTGAGTAGTGGAGCTGAAATTCAAGCACATCTGTCTGACTCCAGAGCCTGTGATTTGAACCTAAAGTCTCCATCTCCAGCCCTGATAGAGCCCACCTTCTTTACATTCCCTTGGCCAATGAATGATGGATGCTATTATCAGTTTTAAAGGAGAAATGGAGGCACAGGTTAGTTGACAATGTGTCCAAGGCCACAACCCAGGCAGTCTTGCTGCAGTGCAGCCTCACCCCATCAAGGGGCTCCCTTGTTGTGGTGATGCTCCGCATCCTCTAGTTCCTTGCTTATTCTTTGTGTCCTCCAGTAGCCCTTTGTCTGTCTTTGTTCACATTGTATTCCTAGGGGCCGGACAGGAGGAACTTAATTAATATTTGATGAATTGACTTAATTTTTGAATAGCTATCAGAAATTATACTTAATATGTACAAAACACTTCATTTCATTCTTACAACCTTTTCTCTACGTAGGTTTTATTTTTCCCTTTTCATTTTAATATTTAAAGAGGTTGTTAACAGAGGTTAAAAGCCAGAGTACTTGAGATCATAGGCTGGCTTGGCCACTTACTAGTTGTGTGGCCTGGGCAGGGTACTTTACCTCTTTGTGCTTCAGTTTCCTCGTCTTTAAAATAGGCTGGTAATAATTATTGCTACCTCCCATGGTGAGGATTGAGTGAGTTAATGATGGTAACATGCCTTGAACGTTGCTATATTCCTCCCTCTTAGAATCAACCGAGCTTATCAATGTGAAGAGCCTAGGACACAGGAAATCCTAAGTTACTGGGAGCCATTGATGTTCTGATTTTTTTTGCACTCAACTGTTGTACTTTAGATATTGCCTATCTATCTCCCTATGGCTCGTTTGCCCTCTGTCTCCTTGCCTTCCTAGCCAGTTGTCTTTCTGAGACTCCACTTCCTTTCTCTCTGTGGGTTACTAACCTGCCCCAGTTAGGCTCCCCTTCCCCACTGTGATTGTTTTCACTGAGGTCACCAGGGACGTCAGAATTGCCAAATCCAGGGGTCATTTCTTAGTCTTTCTCTCACTTGACCTCCCAGTGACACCTGGCCACATGAGCCTCTCTCCCTCCTGAACCTCCCTGTTCCCCTGGCTTCTGAGACATCAGTGGTTTCTGCTGCAGTCCTGACCTCTCAGCACTGTAGCAGGGGCTCCTTTCTCTCCACCCACTGTTTAGATGTTGGTATTCCTTCCCTTTCTGTTTGCTTATTAGCTATGTGACCTCAGATGAGTCATCTAGATTCTGTATGCCTCAGTTTCTTCATAAGTAAACTGGAAATGGTTATGTTCCTACCTCTTAGAATTAGGTGAGCAAATCTATGTAAAGCGGTCAGTACAGCTCCTGGCACTAAGTTAGCATGCAGTAAATATTAGTTGCTATTATTACCATTACTTGCTTTGCTATAAATTTATAAATTTTGACTCTGGCTTTCATTATTCACCATGTACCTCCCAAATTTATCTGTAGTCCAGACTCCCCTCTGACCACAAGCCTGTTTCTGACTCCTAGACCCCTGAGTCCACTTGGATGTCTACAGATATCTCAGATTCCCAAAGCCAAAACTGAACTGAGCATCTTTCCCCTCAAACCTGTGTCACCATCTGTATTCCCAGCCTTAGTTTATGTCCCCTCCATTCACCTGGGTACCAAGTGAGGAACCCAGAGATCATGCTAAATGGCTGCCTTCACATGCACACACAACCTTCAAACCCTCTGCTTCACCTTTCTTTACGTCTTCTACCTGTCCCTGCCTCTCCAGCTCTTGCTTAGATGTGTGGGAGGTGCCCAATAAATACATGTAGAATGCATACTTGACAAATAAAAGGACCATTGTAGTGGCCTCCTAATTCTTCTCCTTCCTCTAGTCCTACCATCAATAACATCCTCTTCTCTGTCACCAGAGTGATCTTTCAAAAAGGGCAAATCTCTAATTATTTTTGTTTAAAATCCTTCAGCAATAACTCATTGCTGATAGGTAAGGTCCCCAAAGTCTGTTCATTGGAATGCCAATAGCTCATAAAGGAAAGGTGAGTAGTTAAATCCATTGGAGAAATTATATTCTCAATTTCCCATCCCCCTAAATTTGTCGATTCTCAATGCATTAGCATGTTAAAGGCCTTGAGAAGTCGTGCAGTAAAGAAACTGGCTTAAAACAACATTTCCCAGGCGTCTTTAACTCCGGAGACTTTTTTTTTTTTTTGCAGAACCCTTTATCCACCTGAACTAGTGGGACATGCTTGGGAAACCCTGAGCTGTAGGATAAAGTCCAAGTTTTGTTTCATGGTATTCTAGGGAATTTTTAAAAATCTAGAAAAATACAAAGATGAATACAACCAGCATCTGTGTACCCACCACTAGAAGTGATAATCGTTAATACTTTTTCATCTTTGCTTCATCTTCTTTTTTTGTTAATAAAAGAAATAAAATGTTCCAAATAAAGCTGATGAAAAATAAAGTTTCTCTTGGCCCCTGTGGCTAATCCTAGTCCCTTAACCACTATCATGGATTTAGTGTATTTGGTGTGACTCCTTCCAAGTTCTTATACTTTCGCTGTGGCACTGAGCAGCCTTGAACCCATCTTCTGGTGCAAAGTGCAAGAACTTCTCTAGGGTAGATACCTAGAGGTGAAAGGAACATTTTAAGTTCTACTGACAGATCACATCCCAAAGTGATTGCTCCAGAACGTACACTTGTACTACCAGCCGTGTATGAGAGTGCCTGTTTCCCCACGTCCTTTCCAACAATTAGAGTTAAGCTTTTAAATTTTTGCTGGTCTCAAGGGTGAGAAGTGATGCTTTGTTATAATTTGGTTTTTCCTAATTAATGGTGAGGTTGCACATCTTTTGAGTGTATTGGCTGTTTGGATTTCCTTTGCTGTGAGTTGTTCACGCCTAACCTTTGCCTGTATTTTCTATTGACATCATTTGCCTTTTTTCTTATAGATCAGCAGGCATTTTTTAATATGAGGGATATGACTTTTTGTCTATTAGTATGCAGATATCTTCTCCTAGCTTGTCTCTGTCCTAACCTTGGTATCTTTTGACAGAAGTTTTTCATCATCGTATAGCCTGAGCTGTCTTGGCCTTGGAGTTTATGGTTTTAATAAATGTCTCTAAAACATCCACTAGGACACTGAGGAGGGACACTGGACCCTCCTTTTCCTCCTTTCCCTGTAGCTCCATGTGTCCTACCAGAAATACTTCAAGCTGGAGCCCCTCCAGGCCTACCATCGGGTCATCAGCCTGGAGGACTTCATGGAGAAGTTGGCACCCACCCACTGGCCCCCTGAGAAGCGGGTGGCGTACTGCTTTGAGGTGGCAGCCCAGCGAAGCCCTGATAAGAAGACGTGCCCCATGAAGGTGGGTCTCTCGAATTTGGGGGCCCTTTCTGCCTCTTTTTTATCCTCTAGGTCCTGGGGACTGCGTGATGGCACTATGCAGAAAGAGGCCCAGGAAGGGCTTAGTGTAGAAAGATGGAGATGTAAGTCCTATTTCTGGCATTTGTCAGCAGTGTCACCTTGGGTAACAGACTTTCTTCTCTGAACCTCTATTTCTACCTGCAAAATAGAGATGCCAGTTCCTGCTCTGTCTCACACACAAAGTGTCATGAGGGTCAGGTGTAAGAGTCCTTGTAAACTGTAAAGTGCCATATCAGTAATAATAACTAATACTCACATAGCACGTACTATATGTCAGGCACTATGCTAAGAGCTTTATGCATATTAACTCATTTAATCCTCAGACTGCTCCATGAGGAAAACACTATCCCCATTTTATAGAAAAGACACTGAATATGGCACAGAGAGGTTCGGTATTTTACTCAAGGTCACACAGCAAACAAATACTGGAGTTGGGATTCAACCCTAGGTAATTTGGCTTCATTGTCCACCCTCTTAACTTGAATACTTTCCTACCTTTCAACAGGTAAACGATTTTATTAATAGAAATTTATAAATTTCTGGCACTTTGGGAATAAGACAATCTCCAGATACGTCTTTCAATGTATGTGCTAAAGTCTGGGGAGAGTGGTTAGCAAAGCTGTGAAATTTGAGAAAGGAGACGTAGCTCACAGCCCCAACACTGCCTTCACCTGCTGTGAGGCCTTAGGCAAATGTCTTACCCTCTCTGATTTTTGGTTTCCATCTGGAAAATGAGGCCATTGGATTAGCAGTCATAGTCTCTTGAAGCTTGAGTTTGTGGTTCCAAATCCAAGATCCACTCCTCCCCAGACTGTCACCAGTGCTGCAGGGTCAGCAGGATGTGGCATGTGAGTGGGAACGACTCCCTCAGACACTGGTGAACAACTGCTAGAAACCAGAATTGACGCAAGGCACTCTCCTCAGCTCCAGCCCAGGGATTGTAAAGTGACATTCCTACCGGGCCACCCTGTGGGGGTGTTTCGGCCTGAGTCAAATCAACCCAGGGTTCCTCTACCATAGTCCCTTGGCCCATCCCCAGATGGCTTTCCCTCCCCGGCAGTAAGCCTTCCACCACTCTCTTTCTGCAGGAAGGAAACCCCTTTGGCCCATTCTGGGATCAGTTTCGTGTGAGTTTCAATAAGTCGGAGCTTTTTGCAGGCATTTCCTTCAGTGCTTCCTACAAAGAACAATGGATCCAGAGGTACTTGGAGGGGGCGGCATTGTTGGGTTTAGGGGAGGGGCATGGAGCTCAAGGGCATTCAGCACCTTCATGGCCCTCTCCCCCCACCTCCCCTTATGTGTGAGACCAAAGGTGCAGGCGCTCTGTCTGTTGAACTTGGGATCCTATGTGATCTGTTCCCATCTCAACACCTGACATGGTGGGACGTTGACCTGCCACGAGGTTGAGCAAGAGTTTATCGGCTGATAAGGAATGTCATAAAAAGAACATTGTGCAGTCACATGAATCTCAATTTCCTCCTCTAGGCGTGAGAATCACTGCCCTGCTACCTTCCTCTTCACAAGGTGAAAACTGGAACCAGCTTCTAGAGAGGAACAGCTTCAGGTGCAGATTGAGAAATGATGTCATCCTCATAATTATTGGATGTGCTTTATTAATTGCACTCCTGTAGGCCCTGTTAAAAAAAAATAGGTCAGCAGGGCATGGGCACAGGCTGTGAAATATTTATAGAGCGTCTGTCATGTGTGAGACATAGTACTCAGAAGCCAAAGGTGATCTGTAAAAATGAGGAAGACCCAGCCCCAGTCTTCAGGGAGCTATGGTCTAGTTATAGTGACGATAACTAACATAGCGTACTTACCCTCGATGCTACAGCATGACAGGAAAGATCATGGGCTGCGACGTCAGACTTGGGTTCGGAAGTATGAGGAACATATGAATTCACGTGTGGTCATAGCACTTGGCATTTAGGAGGCTGAAGGCAGACTGATACAGAGAAACAAGCACAGATCCGGGAGTAAGATGGTCCCGAGCCCTGGCCCAGCTCTGCCTCGTTCTTAGGTGCCTCTGAGCACGCTCTCAGGCCCGCGTGTCCTCCTTGGTTTAATGGAAAGAGCACTCCTAATGCACAGAGTGCATTCATATAGTAAGCAGCCAGCCAATGTTAGCTGTCACTATTATTATCCACATGCTATATTTTATTCAAGCCTTTGAGAAATTTTGTGAAATGGGCATTATTGTCAATTCCCATTTTACAGATGAGGAAACTGAGTTCAGTGAAGTTAAATAACTTGCCCAAGATCATAGAGCTGTTGAGTGGGCAGCTGAGACCTGTATATGAATCCTTAACAAATAATAAGAACTAATATTTATTTAGTGGGTACTATGTGCCAGGTACTCTTCTAAGTTGTCCCAGGTATTAACTCATTTAATCTTTGCACAAATCTGTGGGAGAGACGTTATTGTCATCTTTGCTTTACACATGGAGAAATCAAAGCAGAGAGCAGTGAAGTCACTTGCCCAAGGTCATGAAGCTTGAAGTAGCAGAGCTGGAATTTGAACCCAGGCATTCTGACTCCAAAGCACCCATTCTTAATCACCATGGATTAAATAGCTGTGCCTTTAATAGCTAGTTCCTAGTGCTTTCTGGGACTTGTCTTGAGAGCTAATTTATCAGTTACTGAGGATACTCAGTCATGGCAGGTTCAAATCTCCCTCATTGCTGATCCCAGGTAGGACATGCCCATTTGTCCACCTGCTTGGTTCTCCCCATTCACCTCCAAATGACCTGGAGCTATTGCCAGAAGGCAGAGCTGCCCTCAAAAGATGGAGATTTGCCCCTGTTAACAATATGCCAGGAAAAAAATAAATGGCTCCGACTCTAAAAGCAGCTCCAAAAGCAAATTCCAAAAAGCCAGAAAAAGCACACAATGCTTGTAAGAAGACAAGGGACAATTCCACATGGATGCTTCATTTGGGGAATATTGCTGAAACATTTGTTCATTGCCTCATAACCTTGTTTGAGTTCATTGAGTTATAAGAATTGTGTGAGTCTTGAGGAAGCTTGCGCCTTACAGCTGAACTTTGGGGAGAGGAAAACTAGTAGGGAAGAGGAGGTCCCTGGAGGAAACTTGAGGGAGTTAGGGCCCCCTGGGCAGCAGCCTTCCTTCCTTCAACATATATTTAAGAAGCACTTCCTGAGTGTCAAGGACTGGTCTGGATGCTGAGGATACAGGCAAAAATAAGAGTCAGGCATGGTGGCTCACACCTATAATCCTAGCACTCCAGGAGGCTGAGGCAGGAGGATTGCTTGAGGTCAGGAGTTCAAAACCAGCCCGAGCAAGAACAAGACCCTGTCTCTACAAAAAATAGAAAAATTAGCCAGGTATACTGGTGCGCGCCTATGGTCCCAGCTACTGGGGAGGCTGAGGCAGGAGGATCACTTGAGCCCAGGTGTTTGAGGTTTCAGTGAGCTGTGATGATGCCACTGCACTTTAGCCCAGGCAACAGAGCAAGACCCTGTGTCAAAAAAAAAAAAAAAAGGCAGATGAGGATCCTGTCCCGATCAAGCTCATAATCTAATGGGGAGACAGTGAATAAACATAGGATAGTTCCAGAATGACATAGTGCCGTGAAGTATATATGCAGGCGATCTGTGATTGACGGGGCTGATACCTGAAGGATGAGAAGGAGCCAGCAGTGTGGAGAGCTGGAGGGAGGGTGCTTGATGGAGGGGATGTCAGGAGCACAGGCCCTGAGTCAGGAACAGGCTTAATACAGCCATTTGGTCACAGGGCAGAAAGAAGCCTGGTGTGGGTGGTGTGCAGCGAGTGAGGGGGAGGACGGTAGGATGTTGTCATCTGTTGCTGTGTAACAAACCACTCCAAAACTTAGTAGGGTGGCAACAATTTGTTATTTCTTATGGTTCCAAGGGTTAACTGGACTTAGCTGGGCAGCTCTTTTGTATTTTTCTTTTCCATTTTCTTTATGGAATCCCAACTGTACAAAGTTCAAGTCTAGGTTAAACATCTCTTTTCTTGGACTGAATATAGCCTTTATTCTTAGAATAAACAGCCACAGATTTGGTGGGAGATTTTTTTTTTTTTAATAGAGAGAAATTTGCTCATAATCCTACTACCCCTCCAAAAAAAATCTTTATTAGCATTTTGATGTGTATACTTGCATCCTCCACACTTTCTTTTTCTTCTTTTCTTTTTTATTTTTTATTTTTTATTTTTTTTTCTGAGACAGAGTCTTGCTCTGTTGCCCAGTACAGTGCTGTGGCATCAGCTTAGCTCACAGCAACCTCAAACTCCTGGGCTTTAGCGAGCCTCCTGCCTCAGCTTCCCAAGTTAGCTGGGACTACAGGCATGTGCCACCATGCCCGGCTAATTTTTTTATATATATATTTTTAGTTGCCCAGCCAAATTTCTTTCTATTTTTTAGTAGAGACAGGAATCTCACTCTTGCTCAGGCTGGTCTTGAACTCCTGAACTCAAACAGTCCTCCCGCCTCAGCCTCCCAGAGTGCTAGGATTACAGGCGTGAGCCACCAAGCCTGGCCTTCTTTTGTTCTGTTCTGTTCTTTACCTCTTCTCTTCTCTCCTCTCCTCCCCTCCCCTCCCCTCCCCTCTCCTCCCCTCCTCTTCTCTTCTCTTCTCCTTTTTGACAGGCTGTCACTCCGTTGCCCCAGCTAAAGTGCAGTGGCATTGTCATAGCTCACTGCAACCTCAAACTCCTGGGCTCAAGCGATCTTCCTGTCTCAGCCTCCCAAGTAGCTGGGACTACAGGTGCACACCACCATGCCCAGCTAATTTTTTCTACTTTTAGTAGGCATGGGGGTCTTGGGGGGGTCTCACTCTTGCTCAGGTTGGTCTTGAACTCCTGACCTCAAGCGATCCTCCCGCCTCGGCCTCTCAGAGTGCTAGGATTACGGATATGAGTCACCTCACCCAGCCAACCTTTGATGGTTTTGAGGAGCGCTGGTCAGGTATCTTGTAAACTGTCCCTCAGCTGGGATTTTTCAGCTGTTTTTTGCATGATTTGACTGAGGTTATGGATTTTTGGGAAGAATGTCATAAAGATACAGTGCCATTCCCATATTTTCACATCGTATCAGTAGTGGGTATTGTCAGCATGACTTACCACTGTTTTGGAGGGTTTTTTTGGGGGGGGGGTTTATTTATTTATTTATTTTTAATTATTCATGTATAATAGTTATATATCTTTATAGGGTGCATGTGATGTTTTGATACAGGCATACAGTGTGTATTAATCAATCAGGGTAATTGGGGTATCCATTCCTTCACCTCAGGCATTTATTATTTCTTTGTATTAGGAACATTCCAGTTCTACTCTTTTATTTATTTTATAGTATACTCTAACTTATTGTTGATTATAGTCACTTTGTCGAGCTATCAAATATTCATTCTATCTAACTATCTAACTATATTTTTGCATCCATTAACCATCCCCACTTTATCCCCCCTACTTGCTACCCTTCCCAGCCTCTGGTGACTATCATTCTACTGTCTGTCTCCATGAGATCAATTGTTTTTAGTATGTAGCTCCCACATACGAGTGAGAACATGCGAGATTTGTCTTTCTGTGCTCGGCTTATTTCATTTAACAGCATGTTCTCCAGTTCCATCCATGTTGTTGCAAATGGCAGGATTTCGTTTTTTTATGTCTACATAATATTCCATGGCGTATATGTACCACAATTTCTGTATCCATTTATCCATTGGTGGACACTTAGGTTCATTCCAGATATTGTGAATAGTGCTGCAGTAAACATGGGAGTGCAGATATGTTTTCGACACACTGAATTCCCTTCTTTTGGATATGTATCTCTTGCTTTCCTTTTCAAATTCTCTGAGAGAGCATCTGGCCCATAGTAGGTGCGCAGATAATATTAGTTTCTTCTTTCTCTAACCCCTGACAACCTGATCTGTTCTTTCTGGTGAGATTCCTGAATTCCTCTCATTCATTCATTCTAAAAATATTGATTGTACCTCCCGTGTGTTAAGGCATAGGCCTTAGGGGCTAGGAATTCCTAGCTAGGGGCTAGGAATGAGAAGAATAAGCCACAGCTTTTGAGGTGCTCATTGACTGGGGTGGGGAGATGGCAGTGAGGTGTAATAATTAAGAACATAGGTTCTGGAGCACACTGTCCAGCTTCGCCAATTCCTAGCTGTGTGACCATAGCCATGTTACTTTACCTCTCTGTGCCTCAGTTTCCTCATCTGCAAAATGAGAATAATAGTGATACTTACCTCAAGAGGTCTTGTGGTAATTAAATGAGTTAATATACATAAAGCAATTGGAGCATTGCCTGTCACATAATAAGGCCCAATGAGCAATGTACATGTATGTACATAAAACCAGAAAATTAGAGTCTAGCAAGATGATTATCATACAGAGCCAGGCCATCAAGGAACACTTGCTGCTGGTTCCTTGGCATAGGCCTTGGACCAGCGTGTGTGGGAATAATGGTAAACAGGCCACTAGGGTCTGTACCCTCACCAGCTGACAGTCCCATGAGCAGGGAAGATGGCTGCAGAGCACAACAGTGTGCAGAGGGCGGCAAGGGAGAAGTGGGACAGGAGCTGAGGCTTGGGAGTGGCACCCAGTCTTGGAGGTTCGGAAGGTGTTTGCTGAGCAAGATGTCTGTGGTGGGCGTGGAGAATGCGTGGCATGTCTGTTGCAGCACTGCTGTGTGAGGGAACGATCGGAACAACCTCATTGCCCGGCAGGAGGGGAATAGATAAGTGAACTGCAGTTTATTTGTGCAACTTCGAGAGAAGCTAACACAACCACATAACATGACCAAATCTCTAAAACATAAAGTCGAAATTTTAAAAAGTTGACCTAGGTTACATGCAATAGGATGTTGATGATGATAGCCAGAATTTTCTGAGAGCTTTCTGTGTGCCAAGCACTGTTCTAAATGCTTTGCTTTTATTAATCCATTAATCCTCTCAATAGCCCTATGAATGGACATATTAATTAGCTTGACTGTACTAATCATTTAACTGTGTACATGTATATCAAAACATAGTGTCCATCTACAATTTTTAAAAACTATCACAACCAGGATATTGACATTGATACAATTCACCCATCTTATTCAGATTTCTTCACTTTTCCTTGTATTTCTGTGTATGTACGTGTGGGTGTGTTTGTATTAATATCTGTGTTTAGTTCTGTGCACCATTATGCGTGGGTTTATGTATCTACCACCACAGTTAAGAACAGTTCCATCACCACAAGGATCCTTGCGTTACCAGTTTATAACCACACCTCCCTCCCTAAACACACACACACACCCCATTCCTAACCCCTGGTAACCACTAATCTCATCCCCATTTCTGTTCTTTTCTCCATTTTTTCATTTCAAAAATGTTATTATAGAAATGGAATCATACACTGTGTACACTTTTAGGATTGACTTTTTTCACACAGGATAATTGCCTTGAGATCCATCTAAGTTGTTGTCTGTGTTGATAGTTTATTTTTTGCATTCATATCCCATGGTGTGTACATACCATAGTTTGCTTAGCTATTTATAATGCTTGTTGAGCCGCATCTGGACTGTTTCCAGTTTGGGGCTATTATGAATAAAGCCACTATGAACATTTGTGTACAAGTGTGTATGTAAACATAAGTTTTCATTTCTCTGGGATAAATGGCCAAGAATACAATTGCTCAGTCATGTGATAATTGCATGTCTAGTTTTATAAGAACCTAACTGCCAAACTGTTTTCCAGAGTGCCTATTTCATAATTTTGGCTGGCAGAGGGCAAGTATTCCAGGTGGAGGGAAGAAGTATGCAGAGATCTGGAGTTTCAAAATGCATTGCAAGTTTATGGAACAGCAAGATATTTCATGTTGCTGACATATAGTCTGGGTTTAGCTGAAGAGGGAACACAGGTTTGTTCCTCATTCATTCCGCCAACAAATATTTACTGAGCTCTTACATGTGCCAGATGCTGTTCGAGGCACACTGGAGGTGCTGCCTTCAGAGGCCTGAGTCCCACAGAAAAGACAAGTGTGAAATGATTACGAGGTGTACAGTGTACAAAGAGGGAAGGAGATTCTTGGGAGGGTGTGATAGGGGTGTCTGCAGACCTCTGGTCTGCATGGGACAGGGACCATGCCTGTCTCGTCCTCCCCAGGTCCCAGCACATAGTAGGTAATCAATAAATATTTGCTAGATTTTGAATGAATGATCCAATCCAGTGTACAGTCCTATGAGTGTGACCTGGCTGTTGGCTCTGTAAGCAGCTGCATGTCCCAGTCCCGCCGTGTGGGTAAAAGGGCAGAGGCCTGGTCCAGACACCCCACCCTGGAGTGAATTACCACACCACAGATTGGAAGCCAGCATGACATATAAAAGGTTGGAATGCTCTACTGTAAATTTTTAATTGTTAAACAAGCAAAAAAGGTTGTAAATTCCGTGCGGCGGGACAGTGTTGCTTATTGTGCCTGTTGCTGCCGCCAAGGTTTCTTATCAGCCCGTTGGTATTTCACAACCTCTTGTGCTTCTTGCATGGTACAGGGGCCCCTCTGCAGGGTCTCTAGGGCATGGTGCAACACCATCCTTTTTCCCGTGGGGGTGGCAGCCAGCTGTCTGTGCGTCCTCTGCCTGACTTCCCCTCATTCCATCTCATGCCTAGATTTTCTCCAAAGGAGCATCCAGTGCTCGCCCTGCCAGGGGCCCCAGCCCAGTTCCCTGTCCTGGAGGAACATAGGCCACTCCAGAAGTACGTGGTATGGTCAGACGAGATGGTGAGGACAGGGGAGGCCGAGATCCGTGCCCACCTCATCCGGCCCTACGTGGGCATTCATCTGCGCATTGGCTCCGACTGGGTAACTTCCCCCTTCCTCTCACTGGCTGACTTGGACGTGTCCCTGAGCAGAGCCCATGTTTGTAGGGTTTGGTCCCACGTCCCAGCCAAAGCAGAGAATCTCACTTGGCTTAGTCTGTCAAGCCAGAGAGTGGCCCAGGAGTCCTCTGTCCCAGCTCAGTGTTTAGCTAGTAGACTCCTTGTTGAAAACCAAACTATGGAGATTGGGTGCAGCTCCCGAGAAACGAAGATGTCATCTCCCCAGAATTTACAGGCTATTTAAATGTACAGATACCTCATCAGATGGGGTTTCCACCTCTGCGTGAAAATAACAGATCCAATATAGGTAGTCTTCTTAATTTATGGAAGAAGATACATAGATAACATTAGAAATATGCATTGTTGAAAACTTGAAAAATACTGAAATTAAAATTCACTCACAATCAACTGATAAGATAATCTCACATTTACCCACTAGGCTTTCTCCCTTTCCCCCTGCCACAAAGAGAAGGAACCAGGCCCAGGGCATTTTATGAGTGGTTTCAGCCAAACATTCAGGGACTATAGTTCCCATCTATACTTTTCTAGAACATTAAGAGATATAAGATGCTGTTTTTTATAGAGCTAGCATAACACTAATACCAAACTTAGATTGGTCAACACAGTTCTTACTTATAAACACAGACGCACAGATCCTAAGTAAAAAATCCGATAATGCATTAAAGAACATACGACACAAACAAGTAAAGTATATCCCAAGAATGTGATCAAATTCACTATATTGATACCCAAAGAAGAAAAATTATATGATCATCTCATTAGAGACCAAGAAAGCATTTAATGAAAGTCAACGCCTATTCATGATAAAAACTCACAGCCAGGAATAGAACGGACACACCTTAGCTTGATAAAGCCTATCTCTCCGAAACCCACAGCAAAGTGCACCTCATGGGAGCTATCAGAAGTGTTCCCACTGAAGTCAGGAATCAGATAAGGCTGCTCGTTATCACTGCCACTGTTCAGAATCCTACAGTGGACATCCCAGATAATGCAGTAAGACCAAGAAAAAAAATATTTTTCTCAAAAAGCCAACGTCCCACCACCCAGAAATAACCACTGTTAGTGTTTTCATGTATTTCCCTCTTCCCTCAATGTTTTCTTTTCTTAAATATAGCTGGGCTCCTACAGTACAGTCTGTCTTTTTCCACTTGCCAATTCTTGCTCCTGGGGTCCAGGGCAGTTGCTGGTATTTAATCTTATCCTCCCCTCTGCGCAGAGGAACGCCTGCGCCATGCTGAAGGACGGGACTGCGGGTTCACACTTCATGGCCTCTCCGCAGTGCGTGGGCTACAGCCGCAGCACAGCAGCCCCCCTCACCATGACTATGTGCCTGCCTGACCTCAGTGAGATCAGGCGGGCCGTGAAGCTCTGGGTGGGGGCACTGAATGCCCAGTCGGTCTACGTCGCCACTGATTCTGAGAGTTACGTGCCCGAGATCCAACAGCTCTTCAAAGGGAAGGTATGCGTGGGCCAGGTGGGAATGCAGGGAGAAGGGGAGGAAAGAAAGTGCCAGGGAGGTCCCACTGCTCCCACTGCATGCATCATGGGTTCCCCGCAGTCTTTGGACATTTCCTCCAGTTCCTCTCCTATTCCTCCCCTTCCTTCAGGCCCCCAGCTGAAACACCTCCTCTGCAGAGTCTTTCCAGTTTTTCCTCCACTCCTGTAGCTCTTGTGTCCCTCCTGGGAGCTCTATAGCCCTGTATCACTTCTTCTCTTGGGGTACTTTCTAGGCTGTAGAGACTAGTGTAGAAACATGTCTTATTTCCCACCGTGAATTGTGGGCTCCTTGAAGGCAGGAGCCAAGGCTCAATCGTTGTATTTCTTGGTTTCTGGCCTGGTGCTTTGACCTCTTTGGGGGCTGAGACCCTGCCTTACCATCACCAGTGTCTAGGACAGTACCTGACACTTAGCAGGCAGACAGTTTGTTGAATAAGGGTATAAAGAGTGGGCCCTGGGGAGAGATCCAATGTGGCAGAGGTGCTAAGAGCATAGACTCTGGAGTCAGAGAACTTGGGGTTCTACTCACTGTGCAGCCTCACAAAAATTATTTGATCTCTGTGTGCTTCTGTTTCCTCATCCATAAAATGAGACTGAATAGTATCTATGTCATAGGGCAATTGTGAAGATCAGGTTTAAAGAAATTTAAACAGTTCCTATATAAAATAAGTGCTCAATAAAGTTAGATATTATCAATTGCAGAAATTTATTCCTGCTAAATCAAGGAAAGGATTTTTTGTGCTTAGTAAATGCTTAAAGAAGCCGCGAATAGTAGGTATTCAGTACATGAATAAATGGTAGAATGTTCTTGGCCGATGCTTACTGTATCAGTGAAAAGTATGTAATGAGTATGTATAGATAAAACGACTGAATTAATAGCAAGCATCCAATAACACTTTCTTGAATGAATGAAAACTGTGCATGCTGTGTAGACCTTAAGAGGCAGACATTGGGTGCTGTTGGTTTTAAGAGACAGGGTCTTGCAATATTGTCGAGGCTGCTCTCAAACTCCTGGGCTCAAGTAGTTCCCTGGCCTCAGCCTCCCGAGTAGCTAGAATTACAAGTGTGTGCCACTACACCCGGCCCAACACATACGTTTTATAGTTGAGGAAACCAAAGTTGCAAGAAAGGATAGAATTTACCCAAGATGTCCCAGAGCTAATTATAGTGGGCATGACACAGAGAGGGTAAGTTTCAGAGTGTGGGTGGAATTCTTTGGGGGATTTTGGCCATGATTAAACAAACTACTATTGTTTCTTCGCTGCGATCCAAATAGCAAGATGATAATTTTTTTACGTCAGTCATCTCTGTGGAACAGTAAAGCACTTTCAGCCCCAGTTGTGCCCAAACTCCCCCCCATACACCTCTGTACTAAGTCGAAGTCGAAGCATCTGGAGAGTCCCAGGGAGATTTCTGTGAGTTTTTCAAGCCGATGTGTTTGTGACGCCTTGAGTCTCTTGCCATTTTCTATTTCCTGTTCCTGTGCCAGTCTTTTCACCCTCCCCACTCCTCAGCCCCCTTTGCTGTGGGTTCAGGTCCCACCCTACTCTCCAACTAAGCCTTGCTCCTCCATCAGGCGGTCCCAGTGCTGAGTCAGGACACTGACAAATAGGATGTGGTCCTGCCCTCCTGGGCTCACATGCCAGTCCCAGGAAGAGAGACTTTGCAGAGAGCTATAACATGTGCCACAAGAGAGGCTCAGGAGCTTGGTGGGGAGGTAGGTAGGTTCATTCATTCACTTGTATACTCGGTAGGTGTTTAATGGGGCGGGCTCTGTGCTGGGCCTGGCCAGGAGTGGAGAGCAAACCAACACAGCCCCACCCCAGTCAGCTGCAGGAGACAATGCTAATCAGAACCATTAAGGAGTGAGAACAATAAACTGAGATGTGTGCTCCAAAGTAGAGCAACAAGGTTCTGTGGGTGTGCAGAGCAGAGGGCCCTGGCCAGTGGCCAGGGAGGGCTTCCCCAAGGAGGTGCCCCTTAAGCTGAGAAGTGAAGGATAAGCAGCAGTTAACCAGGTAAAGGGAGGTGTACCCAAACAGAGGGCATAGCATGTGCAAAGGTCCTGAGGAGAGGGGAGCCTGATGAGTAGTGGCTGAAGCTCAAGAGATGGTGGGGTAGTATGAGAGGGGGCCCAAGCAGGGCCTTGTAGGCCACACCACATTCACAATTTGTCACACTCATCTGAAGGGCAGTGGGGCACCATTAGAGGATGTTGAGCTTGGGGCAGGAAGGACGGGGGTGGGAGTGTCTCAAAAAGTTTCCTCTGGCTGCCCTGTGGTGAGCAGGCCAGGAGAGGCAGGGAGGGGACCAGAGAAGAGGCTGGTGTAGTGATCGGGCAAGAGATGGTGGTGGCTGGGCTCAGGGAGTAGCAGTCCCTCAAGAGAAGGGTTCACCTTTGGGGAATATCTCAGGGGTAGATAGGACAGGACTTCGGGCTTGGAGTTGGGGAATGTGGGAGAGGGAGGCATCTAGCAGCAGAACAGGATCGGTGGGGCCCTATTTGGTCTGATCTCTGGTTTGGTGGGGGAAGCCTGGCAGGCTAGGTAGGGCTTTAGGAAGAAGGTAGAACTTGAGCTGAGCCTCAAGAGTCTGGCAGGGACTTGAATGGGTGGGGAAATGACATTCCAGGCAAAGGGAAAAACACAAGCAAGAGTGCAGAGGTGTGAATGGTGTTTGGCGCTGAGGCTTCTGAAGGTGGGAGGGTGGGGTGACCTGGCAGCAGCTGGACACCACTGCTCTCAGACACCCGAGCCCGCATCTTTTTGTGTCTGTAACTTCAGCCTGGGGGAAGAAGGTTGGGGTATGAACTGTGGGCTTGGCTGAGGCAGCCACCTTGGCCTGCGGCCACACTGGCTGATACTTTCTACCCTTCCTCCTGCAGGTGAAGGTGGTAAGCCTGAAGCCTGAGGTGGCCCAGGTTGATCTGTACATCCTCGGCCAAGCCGACCACTTTATTGGCAACTGTGTCTCCTCCTTCACCGCCTTTGTGAAGCGGGAGCGGGACCTCCAGGGAAGGCCGTCCTCTTTCTTCGGCATGGACAAGCCCCCTCAGCTGCGGGACGAGTTCTGATCCTGGCTGCAGCACATCACCAGTCTGAGCTGGTCCCTCCAGCCGGGCCAGGCAGCTAGAGGTGCTCCCCAGATTGCAAGCTCCTCTTCTTAAGCCAGAGATGGAGAAAGTTACCAGGGACTTCCTGGGGCAGGGAAACAGTCCCTCTCTCCAGGGCTTAGGACTTCTGAGCTCCTAGGAGCAGGAGCATCTCCCCATCTCATGTGCTTCCTGCTGTTTCTCCTGGGAATTTCTCATCAGCAAAGCAGTCCACCCTCTGTCTTTTGGTCTGCCCTGCTGTGGACAGCCTGGGATGCTGAACTCTCTCCAGAGAGATTTTTTCATATAGAGAGAGATTTTTATAGTTTTGATACAAGATCATGACTACCCTAGAACTCTCCCTCATTTTTAAATATCAGTGAATTCCATTAAGGTAGGTACCTCTAAAGTGACCTTAACTGAATATAGATGAGGCCAGGGCTGGGGTGAGTCTGTTGGCCACTTTTCCAGGTGTCCCCCAAAGTGGCCCTCAAGACCTATCCCCACTGCCTGGCCAGAGCCATTGTCGTCCCACTTCTTAGGCCATTTCTAGGGCTTGGGGCATGAACACTCTTCCCCATTATAAACACTATGCAAGTGGAAGTTATCAATCATGATGCTGTATAGCGCTGCTAGGGCAGCTAAGTGCCACTCACACAGCGCGAGAGTTCCCGGCAAGGAGCACACGCCATTAAGCAAGATGATCATGGTATTGCTCTCAGAGTCTTTCGGTTATTGGTGGTTGCCACAAACCTGGCACCGTCAGAGTCACAGAATGCATCACTGGGGGTTAGGGCTTACTGGCCTGGCAGGATCCTTCTGGAGTCTGCCCTCTCCCCTTCTGATCTCTTGCCCCAAGGGGTTGGTATCCAAAGCCTGTTCTCCCAACCTCCCTCCTGCAGCTGGAGCCCTCAGACCATATTTTCACAAGGGAGTGTTTGCTAGGTCTCTGATCACATAGAAGATGCCCAGGATCCAGGAGCCATTGGAATTTCCAGCTGGAAGCAACCTTTGCTCCTTTTCTTCCAATGTAATCCTTGCCAGTGCTGTGAGGCTTAAGGTGTCGTAAGTCGGGAGTTTCTTTGTCTTCCAGATGCTGCAGTTTTAATAATCCATGACTCCTGAGATCCCATGTTTTTGACCTTGTGGTTCTAAACTTCAACATCTAACGCCTGTGTATCTTTTCCCTGCCATGTGACCTCCTCGGCCTTTGATCCTGGAAAGGTGGCAGAGCCTCTGCTGAGAGCCGGCCCGGAGCTCTGTGCAGGGGCTTCTCCCTTAATCACCTTTGGGAGGAAATGCTTAGTCAGGGGCAAACTGGGTCAGAGGTCAGAGATCGCAGGGTATCAAGGCCCCCAAAACACCAAAGTCAGCATTTGCTGTACAGCGCTAAGCAGGAGAAACTACAGGAAATGCTTTGTATTTTTCCCTCTTGGGAAAACAGTTAAATGTTTTAAATCCTGGGTGGACTATGAGAGATGGTTCACCTGTCCGGACTTGTTCTCAAGCCTCATCCAGAGAAAGGGCTGCAGACGAGGAAGCCCAGGCACCCCTGCCTTTATCAGGTGGTGCAAGTGGATGGCTTGATAGCTGATTGCATTTCTGAATTTATTTACCACCCACAGCCTTACACGAGGCACACGCTTTAGAGTCTGGGGCTCCAGTGGGCCGTGCAAACCATCGTGATCAGCATCAGTAGTAATCTTAGCTTGTGTTCTGGAAGAAAGGACGCCGGAGTTGTAGCCAGATTCAGTTGTGTTCTGTGGGCAAGCACTTTACCCTTCGACCCAGTTTCCCCACCTATAAAGTGTTGATAAAACTGAAGGGTTGAAAGGCTCAAATCAGCTAATGCATGTGTGTAAGAGCACGTAGTAAACTTGAAAGAGACAAAGGCGTGTACGTGGCTGTCGCTCAGTCTGACTGCCTCTCCTTGCGTACCTACCCATGCTGGGCATTGTGCTTGCTGAGCACTCCACGGACGTTATCTTGTTTAGTCCCAGCCCTGGGAACTAGGAGCTGTTTTCATCCTTCTCTTTCTGCACAAGGAAAAATTAATGCTCAGAGAATTCTCATAATTTTCCCAAGGCTGCCCCGTTGGTGGTGTTAAGCTAGGATTTGACCTCCTAAGCCAGTTCTGTCAGCCACCATGCTCTGCTGCCTCCAGTTCACAGAAGGGACCTTACACCTTGTATGCCACGGAGGCCTCCGAGGGAAAAATGCTCAGCCACCTTAGCTTCCACTGGGCACCTGCTGTGGGTCTGCCACTGCCAGGAGGTTTCAGGAGGGGGCGGTTACCCCAGACACAGCCCACCTGAAGCTTACAGTCTCCCTTGGATAGTTAGTTCAACATTCTTTCATTCAACAGATGTTTATTATTGATCCGCCTACTATGTGCCAGGCTCTGTGCCAGGTACTAGGGATGCAGCAGAAAATCAAACATAAAGTCTTTGTTCTCAAGGAATTTGCATTCTAGAAAGTGGAAGACATAAACAAATGTACTGTGGGAGGTGTTGATAAGTGCTGTGAAGAAAAATAAAGGGTATGGGGGTGTAGAGCGAGAGCCCAGATAAGGCCTCTCTCAAAAGCTGCCATTAAAGAGGGAGGGAGCACACTGTTCAGGTATCTGGAGGTAGCTCATTCCCAGGAGAAGAAACAGCATGAGCAAAGGCCCTGAGGCTGGAGTGTGTGCCTGAAGAGCAGAAAGGAGGCCAGCGTGGCTAGGGTGGCAGGCACAAAGCCGGGAGAGGTAGGGAACATAGCAAGGTGACGGTCCTAAAGCCTGGAGGGCCCTAGTAAGGTCTAGAGTAGGCTGTTAGTGGGAGACAGAGGGGAAGCCTTCCCAGGGTTCTGAACAGAAGAGGGTTGTGAGCCCCTCTAGCCAGCACGAGGAGAGGAGGAAGGGTGAAAGCAGAGCAACTCTGTGGGGCTGTTGGGGCTGTTGCCGGGATACAGGAAAGTGATGGTGGCAGGGGTGGGGGTGTCCCCTAGACTAGAACTCCAGTGCTCTCTTCTAAGAGGCAAAGGCTATTGCTTTGAAGGTGGTTGGAATGATCAGATTCTGGATATGTAAAATTATTTTTAAATTTCAGTCTTTTAAAGATATAAATCTTTGCATAGTTTTAATCATGCAGTATATACAATTTAATGTCCTGGTTTTTTACATAATAGTATATCATTTTCTTTGTTGGTATACATCCTAAATAAATGCTTTTAGTTACATAAAATTCCATTGAGAGATGTTCCATAGTATATCATTTTTCTATTTTGAGAACTTAATGTGTTCCCATTTTTTCACTGTTGTTAAATATATTATTTGTAAGGGTTTTCTTTATTTAAAATGTTCATTAAGATAAATTCCCAAGAGTGGATTTGTTGGATCAA